AGACAGACAGACAGACAGACAGACAGACAGACAGACAGAGACAGACACAGAGACAGACAGACAGACAGACAGAGACAGAGACAGAGACAGAGACAGACAAACAAACAAAACACACAAGCAAAAGTAGGACGTGCTTTGCCAAGTCTCCCGATCATTAGCAATGCTTTCCACTGCGTTTCTGCGTCCTTCGCTCATGATGTGGTTCTTTCAAAAAAATGGAAGAGCGTATCTGCAAGGTCTCAGCCCTAACAAAGCCTGTGCACACCGTATGCATGCAATTCCTGAAGTTGTAAATGACCTTCATACAAGGAACAAAACATCAAGGGAAGGATAACTAATTAGGTATAACTCCCGTTATTGGATCTCCATTTTAAACACTCCTAATGTCATTCTATTTTCCCATGAAACTAACAGCTCGGCTCCTCTGGCTCCTCCGGCTCCTCTGGCTCCAGTGGAGAAACCTCTTCCAACTCCAACGGCTCCGCCTCCACTGGCTTGTACTTCTTCTTTCGAAGGCTTGGCCACTTCCTGCGTCGATTTACAGAATTCTCCCCAAGCTCTTGAATTGCAAGATTGAATGGGTAGCCACTGGCTTTGCAACTCCCGAACTCAATAGGAAACATCCAACTTGGCAAGTGTTGTGACTTTCACTTGGGTGAGCCAGCTACTAGCTCTAGGAATGATGATTCTTTGACAGGATGTGTTTAATGTTCTTTCGGTTTGGGAATGTTGATTGTGTGCCTTGGGATGCTGATTTACAGTACAGTACAGTAAGTGCATTTAAAGGTCTGAATGGTGTTGTCTTTAAAAACTTGCCTCGAGTGCTGTATCATTTTGCACTACATCTTGGACACGGCGTGAAGTATCACTGAGAAAGTGACAAATGGTTTTACCAACTTTGGCAGTCAGTAGTTACATACTGGATATTCCTGTGCTGCGTAGGATCGTCTACATGCATCTCTTGTCTCACGGTGGTGCCACGACAAGGTCGTCGACAAATATCAGCAGGGATTCCAGACTGGAGCCACAATGGACGCGAGTCTGGAATTACAAACTGCATGGTACCGACCCACAATATACAGGGTCCCCTTTCAGCTTGGTCAAGAGCGAAAGCGGCCGGCGTCTGACGTGGAGGTACAGTATGGATGTTTAGTGACCCGTATGTTTCAAGCGAACGTGGGGGCACGAAGCAAGGGCCAAACCAAAGGGGATACGTCAATCGTTTTAAATGCTTTGGGAAGCATGGGAACCCCTCGAGTTTTCTGGGAAGACCGCGAACTCTAAGGCTCTGGAATGGAAGTAGGTCCGCTGCAGAACCTAACAGATGCAACTCATTCATCTAGCGAGAATTTGGTTTACTGGTATACTCCCCGCTGTCAAGACACCGTTCAGTCTGGAGTTCTCGTGCTTCCAAGGCTTCCAACATATGCAATGTGTCTGTGCAATACTTTTTCTGAGTGTCCGATAGCTGACTTTTGACTCCAGCTTTCGCAGGTTGCTTTGCTTGAGAAGCTTGGCCATGTAGTGGCCCCAGCGGACATTGCCTTGGGCTACTTGTATGGCCCACAGGTCAACAGTTGAACAGCTCTTCTCGGAGCAAGTACGAAAATAACTCGAAGCAACTCCAGAAATCCTTGCTGGGTCATTTGGGGGAAGCCATCTGCAGGCTCACCCAATCGCGTGGTCGTGAGGACATGCCGCCATCTGGGACGTTTTATCTTGCTGGCACTCATCTATACACGCGTTCAACAAAACAATAACTATTTTTAGGCAGGTCTGAGGACAAAGGCAGCAAGGGACCTCAAAAAAGAACCTTGTGTAGTAAGAAAAGGAATGGTCTGGGGCCCAGGCCTTTTCGATCGTAATCAAAGTTTCGATCTCGAAGACTTTGAACTGCCACCTGGGGCTGGGGCCCAGTTTCCGCTGCGCAAGTTCTGCAGCGTCTGCAAAGGGTGATGTATACAACTTTGGTCAAATGATGTCAAATGTTTCGTGCCAGAGATTCATGTCATGAAGAAGCTACTAGGGGCTCCTGGCCTTACTACTAGGAACAAAAAGCTACTAGGGGCTCCTGGCATCACTACTTGGAACAAGGACGCTACAGGTCCAATCTGACAAAGATTCGATTCATGTCATGCCGCTCGCAGACTTACGTCCGACTTCTGCAGTTGAGTTTCCCATGTCGGATGCACACGCTCATAGAAGTTGGGTTTTCCAGAAGCTGCCAAAGGCTCTCCATGAGGACCACGGTGAAGGATGTCCAGCTCCTTTTAATGGTCGAAGAGACCATATGAATATTGGAGTGGCCATCGAAAGAAGCAAACACAACTCGTACAAAGAGTGCCTACTGAGCACTCTAATTGTGGTTTTGGATTCAATGTTCAACCACATCTGGCAGAAATGGTTCATCCGCTTAGTTTGCACATGTCTATCCGCAGACTTGCAACCAGGTCATGAACAACCTGTTGTGGCCTACAGAACCACATCCCTTCCTTTTGTTTGTTTTCGGAGAAAGCATTCTTCCGTAATACAGTAGAACAACTCATAAGACTTTGGGCTCTACCATAGGCTTAACTGGCGGCTTGGGCTCCGCACCCAATGTGGCCAGGATCCATCTGGCTGCTGAAGCTTCAGCAAAGCCAAGGTAGCAGAACAAAGCAGCCGGTCGCCGCCGTCCTTCGACCGGCATTGTGTCACCACAGACTAGGAGCCGTTCTTGACTTGGACCCACTACGTGACCGCCTCCTCCAAAGCCACTGTGGGCCTTGCATAGGATTCAATTTCTCCTATCCTGCAAGTTGCTGATCCAAATGCGGACCGTCCCACAATATGGATGTGGGTTCCTACGACGACCGTCAGCCTCGTACAAGCATGCCCGGGCAGAGTTCACGTGGGTGCAAATTTTAGGTGTCGAACTGGAAGTATAATGCAGCACATTACCCTCTTCACTCTGCCGAGGCTGTGAAGGTTGGCCTCAATCCAGGCTTTTCTCTTTGAGTCAACAAGGCGTCTATTCCAAGGCCAAGTACCTGCAAAGGGGACCAACTGCCAGGGTCAGCTGTGACCACATTATACTAGTGTCGATGGACGAAATACTCAAACCCTTGACTGCATACACTTCCCCCCCAAAGCTCAATGTTGACATTGTTCCCGGAGACTAGGTCCGAATGGACAAAACTATATATGTTATATATAATATATTATCAAACCCCAAGGTACCAAAAACATATGTTGAACTTGTGACCTTGAGATTTGGGTGCGGGGTTCATGGAGACAACAGGATGTTGTGGGGTTTTAATATTTTGTCCATCTACTGTAGCATTGATACACTGTTTGCATTATCTCCAGCCTCATAGAATCTACGATCTGATGTGATACCGCTGTGAGAAGTGTCTGAGTATATCAAGATCCAGCGTTTCGCTTTTTCCCACATCCATCCGTCGCATCACCCTCCCTCGCTCCGTCATGCCACAGCCCCGGAGCACATCCATCGCTTCACTGAGGCCATCGATGTCCAGCAGAAGATCTGGGACCGTCGACCTAAATCGGCACCAAGAGGCAAGGTGCAGTTTGGTTCAAATTGCGACTGCATGGGTGCATCCTGCAAGACATAGTGCAACAGCCCTAGCGGCCTAGCGGTGGTTCGGCGAGAAATAGCGGAACGATGTTGGAATGACTGGTGATGAGATTCTATCTAACTCGGACCTCTGCTTCGGCGTGTTCGCATCTCGTGAGTGAAGGGGGAGGAGATGGACAGGTGCAAAACTTGGCGTCCTCTTCTATCCATCCATTTGTTGAAGACTACGTGACTACTCGGATCCACTTGATGGTTCCCATTCCGACATCATGCCTCAAGTCTCTTGTTGACTGCCTCTTCCTGTGCTGCTTCCTGGGTTGGAGTTCAGTTTGATACTCCTTTCGCCTATAAACAACTTATAGATGCTCGCTCACCCATCCTTTGCTGAGCTGGGAAATTGGTGCTACAAAAATTGGAAATTGGCAAAAGCGAAGAACAACTATATAGCTTCCATATGCTTCCATCATGTCCACAGCATTGCTGGAAGTTTGTGTTTCGGTTACAAGGTTCGACTTGAAAAATGCGCGGTTTCGTCGAATGTGACCGATCTGCTGAGACACTCCCGATAGCGAGCCATCTTCACCCAATAGAGGCACCCCCGACGGTTGTAGTTGTAGAGCCACGGTACCTGGGTTTCAAGCAATGTCCAAACGCTGCAATGATCCAATCAAATTCAAAAGGCTGTGCAGAGCTGGGTCAGCTGCTATCATCCTCTGGGTTAGCATCAACCAAAACGGTTCACAGAAAAGCTGACGCAAAATGACTGTTTGGTAGTTATATTGCAAACATGCTAGAAGGCATCATTCTCAGGAATCAGTTACCCCTGCATATTGCTCAATTATTGTGGCCTTCATCAAGCAAGACTTTCCCTGCTTTTGATCAACAGTACTCACTTTCAGCTGGCCAAGGCTCGTCTTTGGGGTTCATCTTGATCGCTGAATATGCCTCTGGTGCGTCTGCTAGCACCAAGAAAAGAGGAGTTTGGATGTTATTTTGGAATTATGTTTTCTATTTGTACTTTTTTGTATGCTTTCGGCTGCTGTCTTATAAAGGAAAGAGAAAGGGAAAAGGAAAGGGGACCTAGAGCAGCACGGTGCTCAAAAACAAGGGCCCCTGCAGGGTGCAAAAGCCATATATAATCAAAACAAAGCAATCAAAAGCCAACAATGCTAACAACACCAAAAGCCATCAAAAGAGCCTGAGAAAACCTTGGAAATCCGTTGGTCTTCTCAACAAGACGCGAGAACAATGCGAAAATCCAAAGTGTTCTTCAGAACACATACGTCAGAAAAAACTTGAACATTCTTTGGTTTTGTGAAGAAACCTAAGAAAAACTTGGGAAATCCTGTGATTTTCTTAAAGCTACCAAAAGCCAAAAGCCACCAAATGCCACAAGAAACATATTATTAATAGAATTTAATGGATATACCCTCCGCAAGAAAGTGATACAAATTGACCCTTGATTTTGACTTCGATATATTCTTTTGCAAGCACATTGAGAATCAAGCTTCACAGACATAATGACGAAACGCTACATCTGCATAAGGATTGCAAACACAGCTCCTTTCAGCTGTGGACATGGGTGGTCAACAAGTAGGCACCAATCCGCTGACTGCTTAGTACAATCTGGTACAAAAAACAACTGGCAGTATCCATGAAAACCCTTTGCAGGAGCACCGATGATACATAACCAATGTCTAGTTCTACACCAACAGAACCCACTGCCATTCCCTGTGTGTCACAACAAAATTGGTTTCATTGGACAGGCCACATGCACTAAACAGTTCATGAATGTGTTAAGTTTTGCTTTTTTCCGCTCCTCTGAATAGATCTTGATAGTAGCTTGGCCGCAGCTACAGCAAATGAATTCTGAAGAACTTCTGCTTTCTCGCATCTTGCCAGGACTCCGTGATGGCAAATGCGATATGAGTGACAAAGTAGAAGCTGTCGTGAAACCTCCGACACAGCCAACTCTCACAAGTCGAAACGGTATCAATGGAAGTCACTTCTATCAAGTACGGTGCAGACACGCAAACACAATCTAAGAATCTAAAAGTCTAAAAACTCTTCGCATCTGGTTCATCATGATGTCATCAGAGCGCTCCTTCCAAAAGTATGTACAACAAACCCAAAGCACATGCTTTCAATCTCCGCCACTTCGTAGACTTGATGCCCATCCCATCCAGCCCTGGTTGCTTCATGGTGTCTGGTTTCCACCTCCGGCGCCCGCTGTTCACCCCACCGGAATTCACGATCGTATGGAGGCCCAAAGAAACGGTGACCACGAATAAACTCGAAGGTCTCCTGCGATCCGATCTGGTCCAAAAAAACAAGCAGCGAAACAAACCACAAGAGTTTCCAGAACTCATTGTGAACACCAAGTTGGGATGTGTTTTGTTTCTTGCCCCACTTACTTGGTCTCAACGATGGCGAAGGCGCAAACCTCCTGTGTAACGTTCAAAGCAGCCAAGAAATTGCATAGGGGCCAAGGCAAATTGTCGGATTCACAATGACATGGTGTGTCATTCTAAATATATTTTGATAAATTTAATACCAGGCTGTCAAATGTCTTTGTCCATTTTGTCCGACAAGTAAAAACTCCAACGTTCCTTTAACTTTCGCCCGATATTGGTCTTTGCAACCAATCTCCTTCAGTCCCCATTTGATGGGCCAACGCCGTGGGAAGAGCAGCTGATTGAATTCCTGAGACACTTCGAACTGGGTGCGGGCCAAAGACTAAGACCTCAAAACCAAACCATACTAGTAGTAACTGCATGTAAAAGTAATGTTGATGTAGGTTATGACATCGGAAGGAATCCTGCAGAGAGAACAAAACACCGTTGACAGCCACACGTCGGCAGCTCTTTTGTCTCCACCGGTCGCGAAAGCAGCATCCAAAAATGTTACACCAAAGATCCGGGGTCGAACAAGGGGGCCCAATTTCCCAGGCCCTGTGACCAAAAACACCCAAGGACCAACACCGGATCCACCAAAACCCGACAGCAAGCCGTCCAAAGCCGTTCATTCCATTTCAGTTCGGAAGATGCCGCATTGGAATGATAAAACATATAAAACAATACACCCTGTGAGATCGACGGAATGGTTCCCTTCTAAACCGAAATGAAACTCCAAAGTGGGAAACATGGACTGCAACGTTCAGAAGATAGGCACAAGCACATGCCCAGAAGTTGCAAGCTGAGCTGCCATGATCATGATGTTCATGATATTAACCACCTCAGCTCACTGAAAAGGGTGCATGTTCCAATCAATCAGATTGAGCATGGAGGAGCAAAAGAATGGTGTTTCACCTACGGAGTTCCCTTTCTGATGCTGCGATCCTTCCTGAAGTAGTAAGTATTCTCCTCCCACCCCCCCTGGTCAACGTTCGCGAGCGTCTCATGTAATTATACACAATCGCACCCTGATGGCAGGTACACCACGCTTCACAAATGCAAGTCCAAAAGCAACAGCTAGAGCGGCTAGACCTTTCTAAGGGTGATGAACAACAAGCAGCATGTTGCATCTGGAACCAACCAGAAAAGAGGTGAAATTGGCAGCAAGAGACCCAGTCGCTGTCCGGAATCTTGTGAAAGCCCTTGATCTCCATGCCAAAGAGCCTAAGGCGAAGACTGAAAGCCCAGCTTGAGCGCTTGGCTGCGAGCCTGGCTAGCCCACATCAAAAAGAATCAAAAAGGAATATGAGTATGCTCGTCTTGCCGCGCTCGAAAAAAAAAGCTTTTTAGACTTCAAGGTTTAAACTGCCCTGGACGGGGTTCAAGTTTTGTCACTCTTGTGTACCTCAAATGTCAATGCAGTATAATATAGTATAATGCAGTCTGGGTTGCTTGTCAGTATCATGAAGACCTTCCCGTTGCCAGAGTTCATCAGCTCGCTTTAACATTGCAGATGCATCTAAACCCATCCTCAGCTTCGGGAGAGCAGCTGTGAAACCACATGTGCTTCCATTCGATATCCGGGCACAAGCCACGTGACAACCGGTCGCGTCCGCTGCCAAAACACTCATCTTTACAACGGATGAGATACATCAGCTCAATGAAGAGCTCCCGGCCACGCCTGGAGTGGCTTCAGTCAATTGCATCTTCGATGGTTTTGCCAGGGGGTGTTAAATGCAGCAAAAGCTTGTCGGCATGAGATGCAAAATGAATGAAACTCTTTGTAACTGAGATTGCAACTAAATGATTAGAAGTGCGTCTGGGCAAGAACAGCAAGGTCACTCAGTGCCCAGCAGTCTCTTGCATATCTGGCCTGCAGGACTGGGTGTGGGCTACAAGAAAGTGATCAAGCTTGCAAGTTGGGTTGCAACTACTGGCTATGTTACAAAAAAAGAAACATCCAACTACTGTGGATGACTGAGTAGCACTCGCATGGGCAAAAGTTGAATCCAAGGGGCCATGGCAAAAGTGGCAGTTGCACCTTGGCCCTTCGAGAATGTGTGTCTCGTACTTCTCCAATAGATCCTGTGAGAGGCGCTGGAGTCTGTTGGGGGGAAGGCACTTCGCCATCAAGCCCTCTTACAAGGACAAGGATCATCTTTCCTTCACTCAGCAAGCCATTGATTGAAGCAGGATGAAACAAGTGTAAACTTACGTAGCGTCTTTCAGTGATTCTTTGAAGCTCAATGGCCCAGCATTCTCAAGCTGGCCCACAGGTTTCAAGGAGCTTGTGGCACAAAAAAGTTGGAAAACAGCCTCCAGTTCCCTATTGTGTTTGCACTCACTCCCAGGGCAAAGGGCTACGTTGAACATGGAAAGCTGCTCTGGGCTCTGAGCATTCTGGCAGCACCCAATACACCGAACCATTGCCACATACTCCCAACATCAGACTACATCTGACTAGTTACTAGTAACAAGTGCATCGCTATTAATGGGTAGCTAATTTACTACTAGTAACAAGAAGCTACTAGTAGCTATTTGCTACTAATAGCAATGCACTTGTTACTAACCACACGCCTACTGCCGGGTCCTGAGCAATGCCACGTGCCGCCCCGCGCAAAATCGAGGACGACCTGCAAGTCCGACAGGCGAAGGCGAATGTCCCGGTCTCAAGTGGAAGTCCGGTGGCCAAAAGGATCCAAAAGGGATTGATGCCTTCACTGGTTGTGAATTTCAACGAAGATCTCCAGCATCCCAGGTTCTCCCATGTTCTTTCCTGTGCCAAGCTGCGAAGTATACCTGAGGCTCGTCCAAGGTCTTTTCAGTCAGCATAACAGGCATCAACAAGGAAACGGTTCAATGACACTTAATCTATCATCGCTTGAATTGAAGGCATCAGTCTGTCAACTCTGAAGCTTGAAGAAAAAGTGAGACGTCGTTTGTCGCTACTTTGGCCAAGAGACCAAATCTCAAAGAAGATGCAGGCGGCATCATCCCCGATTTCTATCTGAGCACACAAAAATGGTGCAAGCACTGGCCGGAAATGTTCGCTTGTGTCGCAACATCATGCGACCGTGTCCACAGTTGTCAAATAATGTTGGACAGTGAAAAGGATGCCGTTGCTAGGTAAGAGGCACAAAGACAGCACATACAACGCCGTTGTGACAACGGGTGATCCATGAAATCTGGCTGGATCTGGTGTGACCGCGGAAATGCATCAATGAAAAAAAGAAGCCGTTTGTGCCCTTTATCAAATTATCTATCTCGGGCTCATAGAAAGGGGCTTGCAGTACATGTCCGCCGGAAGTCAATGAAACGCGCGTGTGTGGATACATGTATGTGTATATATATATATATGAGGATACTCAGATATGTGTATATATATATACATAATACATACATATATATATATATATGTGTGTATGTAGGTATACTATTTGATGCATTTTGACATTTTGATACTCTTTTATAGTCCTCTGATAAACTTCCTGTCATGTGACAAGGGCAAGATGTCGGTCGGCAGTCAAGAACTTGTGCATCCACCGCATGCCCTGCCAGAGTTCACACAATCAACTTAACTGGGTTCTGAAGACTCACATACTCACATGCCTCAAGTTCTGCAAGCCCAGGAGAAAAACACAAAAACACGTAGAAATTGTGGAGCGTCCTCCGTGTCCTTTCTGGGTCTTACGAGTACCTCCATTCTTTGAGCACCACCGAAATGCCTTCACTGTGCACATGGCTTTGCTCCGCCTTGAGGATCGCAGCGTTCCGACGATCGCGCAGATCCTTGACACTGTGCCAGCGGCCGAAGTAGTCCTGAGAAGAACGTGTTCAGGCGACAGAAAAGGCCACGCTTGTGACTAGAAAGAAGGCGTCAACCTCTTGTATAATACTAATACTATCAAATACTGTAGTATCCTGCTAAACCAAGTCTGGAACCCAACAACGGTTGCAGTTGTGCCACCTGTGCTAGCTACAAAGGCAAAGAGAACCTGGAGACATCTGGAAGCTCGAAAAAAGGCACCGAGTGTTGTCCAACGTTCAGCGACCGGTTCTTAGGCCGTTGCTCAAATGAAACCAGGAGTGGTCACAGCCGCACCTTGCATTTGTGATCTTTCGCTGTGGACAAACGTGCTTCAGCCTCAGCTCGCAGCAGTTCCAGGTGTGCCCGATTGGAATCAGCTGAGCAATGGTATGTTTGAATGTTGATTGACTCATGAGCACAGGCAAGAGCACCCTCCAATACGCGTGAACACAAAAATTGCATTTTGTTAACAATGTTGTGTTCGTCTTTGTGGAGAAACGGATTGGCATCAACCAACAGGCCCTACCCAACAAAGCGCGGGTGTGCCTGGTTTCTGCTATTCAGCAGCATGGGCAGCTTTGGAGTCGAACGCAGCCTGACACCAACCGCTCCCCAATTATCTATATGTATACAATTGTATATATATATATACAAGATTTTAAAAGTTTGCTCAATATCTTGTCATATTATGTCATATTGGTCTTCTCCCCACCAGAAGTTGTTGTGTGCCGGCCAAATAGGATTGGAACTCTAGCATGGACAGCAAATCAAGAACGTTCATGGACCATCATGGACCACGAACGTTAAAAGCTCCTTTCTAAAGCCTTCGTTGACCTTCTCACACGTTGAGGAGCGTTCCAAACAAACCCCAAAACTCCTCAACAGTCATTGATGCTCCATAGGTTCCTCATGCTTTCAAGCTGATCCAACCCACGGCACTCCGCACGCTTAGGCCAAAAATACGAAATGCCAAAACGGGGAGGAGAAAAATCATAAAGGCATCTTCGGGCTTTGTTTGTGCGAACGTTGCATCTCGACATGTCGCTCAATGTCAATCCTTTCCACAAACGAATTGGATTTCAAGAGTTTGATCAAACGCTGAACCGAGCGAAGCAAGTCGATCGCTCCATGCCTCTCAAGAGATGGTCTGGAACTGGCAGATCCTGCGGTCTCGAAGCATGAAGCTAAAACTAGGAATGGATAGGCGGAATGGAATCAATATTGATCAATAATTCATTTGCAAAGTGTTCTGCCAACAGCTGTCAGCATCATTGGAGGTTTGTGAGAACTTGTGGGAGCACCTACAACTTTCTACGGCCCATTTGGAATCTTCTGCAATCTCCAAACTTCCTAGCTGGCCTTGCAAAAGCTTCAGGAACCTTCCGGAACACACCCCGAACTCGCTCAAACCTGCCGCTGTTGGGAACTGCACCTGAAACCAGAATCTGAAGTCCAAAACCTCTGACATATTCTGACATGCACTTCCCGAAGAGCGTCCTCTCATAAACTCCGGAATTTCATCTGGGTATAGTCAGAGGATGTCAGAGGCATGCCCCCAAAGGCCACCAGTGCAAACTGCACAATACCGGTTGTTGGTGGAAAAGTGGCCACGTTTCCTCGTGGGCAGGCCCTTTCTCGAGAGCATCGTAAGCGTGTCTTCATGTCAGTTCTGTGCCGGTCAAGCGTGGGTGTCATGTGTGGCTCCTTCCGCCATCTCGTGGACCTGAGGAACGTGCCTATATATAGGATGCGATGGCCTTCAACCTACTAGCGATATCTAGCGATGGCCTCCAACCTAGAAGCGAAGAGAATGTGCCTATAGGAAGACATGAGATATGAGATGTCCCGAAAACCACTTGGACGTGAAAAAGGCGTGGACTGGTCCTCTTCATAGTCTTGCCAAAGGATTCCACAATTTAATCTATGTTCATCTATTTTCCACAACAAACTTCGATGGTCATGCGGCAAAAAGGCAACTACACTATCCACACTAGCTCTCAGCTACTCTGTTTGTGTGGTTGCATTACTGCAAACAAATCCTCAAGTAGCAATGGTCTTGCAAAAGAATTCTTGCCTCTCTTGTAGTTCCTTTGAAGCATGATCATCCAAAAGTATCTCACAGTTTAGGAAAGCGATTGAAATTGATGGAAATTGTTCATCTACACTTTCCCAGTCAACTTCAGTCCGACAATTTGGCGACAGAAACTCCGCAGGCCAAGGCACGGCGGCCAGCTGAGAAACTGGTGTAGGTCCATGCAAGGTGACCGGGAAAATAGGAGCTGTCTGATGTCGAAACGTAGGGCCTTTTTGTACCGCATTGTATGATAATATACGATACATTCTGAGTCATCAAAATATGTCAGGCTGCATTGATAGTATTTGATAGTTCCTTCACTTCTTGACTCTCTGGGCTCGCCGAGGAACCATCGGACGAAGAACTTCAGACAATCAAGTCTCTCTAGCTTCGTCAACTCGCGTTACAGTAACTCTTGAGCTCATTGGCGGCTTCGTGGTAGCTGAGACTTCGCACTTCAGTTTTGCAGATCTTCGACGCGATCAGCATACCCAAAGAAAATGCTGGCCCATCAAGTACATACTATCACATTTGGATACATTTGGTTCAATGCATTGGCTCAGTCGTACCTTGCGCCCCTCACGCGCCCCTCACAGGCACCAACCCGCGCCTTCCAGGTGATTGGGTAGCTGGCCGTGACGTCCGTGCCTGTGGGAGCTAAGGCAGCTACCAGCGCATACCAGCGCTGCCAGCTCTACCAAGCTGCCTTCAATGAACTTCTGCAGCTGCAAAAGCCAAAAACATGTTTGTTTCCATATCGATTGACTCAACCGCCAGAGCATTTGGAGAACTCAAACATATTGCCGCGTGACAATCTTGGATCCTCAAATCTCAGAACTGGACTATCCCACCTTGGGCGCTGGTCCACGCTCTACCTGAGGGCTGGCCGACCTGTGCCAAGTCGACCAAAATCAAGAAGTTTCTCCTTTTAAAGCGTTCATGTCACAAATGGTAGGGACCAACACCCCAGTCTCGAGTCCCACTAGTGAAAAAAATAATATTGCAAGACGGGCACCAAATGCTTTGGATGGTTGTTCTCTCGTGGGTAATTACTCCTTGCACAAGAATGAATCCTGCAGGCCTGGCCACTCTGCGTGCCATGGGCAAGCAGCTGGAAAGTGAAGGTATTGTTTGGCTTGAATCATCTTTCATTCAATTCAATGGTTCCTGCATGCTCCTACTCACGAAAATGTCACGGCAGATTGATTGAGTGCAATCGGCCCCTAAGTCTACGGTGTGACACCACAGTATGATAGCCAATTGGCATTAAATTGGCATCTTGCGCATCTTGTTTGCCGCGGTTCAGTCGGTAGCCGTGCATTTGCACCCAAGTCATCCTTGAATATCCTTGATCTACATATGCAAATGAAAAAGTATCCAGTGCTTTTCTACAAAGCTCTGAGTTGGAGCCAGCATCGGATGCGAATGAAAAAAGACGTCTGAAGACCCAAATGTTGGTCTTGCGGGGTTGAATCTAATTCTGTTGCGCAATCTTTGTTGCTTAGGTTGAACATCCGTTCAGAAGTCCAAAGGCAATATTGAGCTCATTGAGTCGCTGGAGCTTCATTGGCTAGGATATGATGCCTGGCACATCCTTACCCACAAGAAAAATGGCGGCAAGACCTAAAAGGGGATGTGTGGTATTGCTTTGGTACCTTCTCCAACGGCAGTGTTCTTTTATTCTCCAAATCTCAGCTGTCCAAGGTCTATCCAGCCACTGTTGACCTACCGAAATGGGGAGGTCAACCTACTCTTGCTTTGAGTTTTTGATTTGGGTTTTGAACCACAACCCATCTGTGTTCATGACGATTGCACTTCTCCTGCCTTAGCAACCTCGAGAGCAGCCCATGCGCATGACCCACGGACCCGTGTGGCCCATACTGCGTGTTCAAATGCCTAGTCCCCGTGATAGGTTGATGGAGAGTTCCAAGGCTTTGAGTCCATTCGGGCGCTCAGAATTCGTTGCAACAAAATGCATATTCGATGGGTCTGTTTCCAAATGCAGTGTGCACAATAGTTCAAACACAGCCAGAAAAACTGTGAATGTTCAACGACTATGTGACTATCTGGCATGAGTTCGCTCTTGCTCTAAATGACAATTCAGTATTGATTATTGTCTATATTAGTATATATATACAGTGTTTGTGCCAGAATGCCGTGCTTGTCTCTACTCTGCCCCCAGTTTCCATGTATGTGCACAGCCAGTATGCAGTCGTGAAAACTTACTACATCATAGATCTATGTAAATCGTGCTTCTTGCAATGACAAGCTTTTGTACAGTGTTCAAAATCTTGAGTCAGTCCCTTCCAACGGCCCATACCGGCTTTGTATCATATCACCTTTTGTTCCCTCAGCAACTAACTAGCAACAAACTGACTATCTTCCCATTCAACTGAGCCAGCGCACCAAGCGATGTCTGGAAGCAGGAGCTTGCATTGTGTCTGCAAACAGAATGCCATAGTCCTGTGCTCCCACTGACTTCGATTTTCATGCGCATTGACCAAAACCAACATCAACATCACCACCCCGTTTCCCCCAGTCGAGGGGCACCAAGACCATAACGTGAAGGTGTGAAGAGCAACATTGGCAACTGGGGTGACGCATCCGGATCACCAAGTCTGAGGAGCAAAGGATCGTTCGTTTATTTCTCGCTTTCTCTCACCCAGCGCATACCGGCAGTGCTTGATGTACGTGAAATTCCATTGAGGTGCGTGGCAGCAATCTTGTTTCATCTGTGGCTAGGTGGTCATCCCAGTCCAAAGAAACTTTCCATTACTGCTGTTATATACTTGTTTTGGTGTCGAGTCGGTTGGTCATTGGGGACCATCGACCCCCATGACCCTCGAACCCTCGAGCCCGAGGGCTCCCCGCATCTGATTCGTACAGAGGTGACCTTTGCCGGCAATTGGCAGCTTGGTTGCCTATCAGTGGGACAGGGCCAGGAAGACTGATGAGCCAAGCACGGAGATGGAAGATGGAGCAAGTCAGTACAAGAAAAACCATTCCAGGAGTCACAAAGGGGTGCCTATTGGAGGTTAGGGGTGCCCATTATCCACTCACTTAGGGACCAAACACCACCCCTTTGTGACCCCTGGTTCAAGAACCTATATAACGGCAGCCACTCCAGATCGCTCTCGGAGTCTCTGCGCTGCCAGGGGGCATCCTTGTTTCCAGGCTCACCGTAGCCTGTGGAACAAATGAGGCTTCATGATATATAACATGGTCATGGTTCTTGGGATTCATAACTCAAATTGGGGCTTTCGCAACCTTTGAGTTTCGTGAAACCGCTGCCCGATCGGTTTCACAACCTGATCATCTTTGTTGACCCCCAACCATCGGATGACCGGCATGATTTTTTGGAAGTTTCTTCCTTCTTCCCCACTGCAGGTGATGGTTTCGTTGGCGAGGACTGGCTGGTTTGGATAACTGCCAGGCGATCACTGGACCCTGACATTTTTCTCAGGTGGAGAAAGGCCCCCCCTGGGCTGCGACCACAAACGCAGTTATGACCCTTAGCTGGGCTAAGCCGTGCAGTTGCTGTAACTGCTGGCTAAGCCTTGGCATCCTCAATGCTTCTGGCTGTGCTGCTGCCGGATCTTCCGTTTGTGGCGTTGCGCTTCCCATTTTCAATACGATTGTGCGTATATATGCGTATATATAATTCCGTGGTAATGTTTGTTCCCTATTGGTGCCGTTCCCGGTGTGAGCCTAGTTCTTCTCAGAATCTTCTCAAATGGGGTTGGATAAATGTTGAGCGTGACCGGAACAAACATGGACAAATGATGACAAATGTAAACATGTAAACATGGGAATGTGTGTGTGTGTGTTCACCGTGTTCGCGTTTTTAAGTGCGGGGACTTTGGTGATTGGTGTTTGGTTTAGCCCCTTGTTTTGCAAGCCGAGGCCGACCAATGCTAGGCCAGTGCTGGAAAGGGTCAGTCACTCCTATGTGTTTCTTGGCTTCATTGTGATGAATCATGGCAGCTTTGGGCGGAGACGGTGTGGCACTCCAAGATGTGGTTATCACACCCTCGAACTTGGCAGCGTGAAACAAACTTGGACAAGGACGAAATCGAGACCAGCGGCAATTGAGCTGAGGTTTTTCTTCATTGTCTATATCACCATCATAGTATTTGCGGTCATTCGTTCCTGGCCAGCACAAACGGCTTTTTCTCGTTCGGTTGAAGCTTAAGATGTGACAGTGTTGGGCCTCGTTCTTGTTCTTGTTTGTGCACCTGCATTCACCGGCGAGTTTGCAAACTACAGTAGCCCAACTTCGTGAAGCGGCCAGAAGTGCAGCAAGAAAGTCACTGGATATCTCCGTGATAGCAAAGTCCTTTGACCCAACGCGTCTCCTCCCACTCGGGCATATAGCACTGCGCCAAGAAGGAGATAATCAGCCTGAGGCTTTGCATGGCCATGGACTCCCTTTGAGGTTCGAAGCGTCAAGATGTCAATTCCCAAAAATCAACCTCACTCAGTGGATCTAAATGGTGCCCTCTTCGTGAAGAAAAGAAATGTCTGCCAAGAGTCAGAGCTATGAGGCTGCGGGTCCAGTTGTGAAAGACCTCAACTGCCAACTTTTCATGCCGAAACGGAGAAACTAAAACGATCCTAGGTTTGTCTTTTGGTCCAGTATTCATACAAGTATCATGTGTCAAAACAACACTCTCTGTCTAGAATAGGTTGCTCACCACAAATCCAGCAGCTTGTTACGTGGAACCTAGATTCCGATGGATCCGAAGGTGGAGTGGAGACTCCCACCTGCCAAGCGATGGTCAAGGCGAATGCCAGAGCTGGAAAGAAGATCCAACTCCTCAGAGTCTCAGTCTGTGGTCAGGTCTAGATTAGATGGATTTATACACCAAACACATACCGAACCAAGAATCCTGCCCGGTTTACCGTTCGATCCCAACAAAGTCTTCACTGAATTGGTATATTAACTACTCCATCCATCAAGTTCACACCTCCGTTTTGTGTCAGCAAAACACCAAAGGACAAAGCAAGTCTTCATGGCACTTCAGCCAAGTGACTGCTCTGGTTTCAATGGCGAGCCACGCCGCAAAGCATACCTCGGAAAATGGTTGGCAGTGAACCCCTGCGTGGCAGCCGTGCAGTTGATAGGAGAACGTCGCATTGAGAACTCGGTCCTGCCAGGTGCTTCTGTCCCTACCAACGACCTACGTCATGCTCCTGCTTGACTTACGTTCCACAGCTTTGCAGGTGAAAACAATGCAGATCTGGCACCCGCACTCACGGGCATAGATGCCTTTGTCACAGGGTGGCTGAACTGCGCCAGCCGTGTTGCGCAAGCCAGTGTGTCAATTTGGTCCTGTTGGCGTCCATCAATAGTGCGTACTTTAAAACAAGTTGGGACATTCATACAAGATACCACAGCCAAGTCTCCCAACAGTTTAAGGGACCTGCGTGCAAGAAGGCTTATGTCCATATGCCCCAGGCACCTCCAAACGGTTCGTAAGCTCTGCGGCCTCTCGCACACAGCTCAACGAGTACTCGGCGAGGGTCCAAATTCTGTAAAGTTAACTCTCATGCCTAAACTCTTGATAGAAGCCAACTTCTATTCTATGCTGTATGTAAGCGTGTACGGGGAGGAAAGGTGCTATTGCCAACACCATACCACGTGCCTGTGTCTATGTGCGTCACAAATAGAAAGTGAAACCTGCTTCACTTCTGAGATCCATACCGGAAAGACAAGGACCAGAAAATGCAAGCGAGGTGCCAGAACTCACGTGGCTGGCCGGGGGGCACTTCCCCAAGTATTAGTTCACCTAGATGTTGGAACAAAACTTGTTTGTCAAATTCTGTGATGTTTTTCCACACACGTCACCTCAGTTTTGAGGGAGTTGAAGACTTGTATGGAATCATGGCACGCACAATGTAATTTGACGAAAGCAAATTTTGAGGACATGTTTGCTGCTCTGGAGTTCTTCGTCCTCAACAGCGAAGCTCAGGGATCTTTCAGCCACAGCAAAATTTGATTGGAGCAGGTCCCAGAGCAGGTTCCGGAACAATTTCTCCATCAGGTTCCGGACCAGGTTTGGAGCAAGCTCCAGAGCAAGTTCTGGAGGAGTTTCCGGGGTTTCCGGAGAAGGGTTTGATGCAGGCTCCAGAACAATGTTCCGGCGCACTTTGAAGATATGCTGACATACTGTTCTGCTCACACTGTCATGGCCCAATGCTGTGACATGGGACGCAACATGCTAGCATGCACATAGTGTCACGCCAATGTGCTGACATGGTGTCACGCTAGCGTGTTGGTGTCGTCACGTTGATATGCTGGCACACTAATATGCCGACACGCTGTCACGCTGAGATGCTGAAACCAGGTCATGCTATGGTGCTGGCATGGTTCTAGGTCTCTAGGTTCCGTTGCCATGCTTGCACATATGTGGGTAGATGTGCTACGCCGACAATTTTTTTGATACTCGGATAACACATTGAAAGGTTCACTAGTTTCACAACAGTATTGTCTGGCAAAGATGCGATACCTGTTGGTGAACTTGCGATGTTGCTATTGACAGGCAGATTCATGCCCGGCTGTTGGGATTTTTCCTGGGTTTGTCCATGAGAAGCAAGAGAGAGAGAGAGAGTGAGAGTGAGAGTGAGTAAGGGCTTGGCAATTTAGCCTGTGCTTCGTACAACTCCATTTGTATGTCGGATTAAAAAGAAACTGTATATATATATAACTATATAGAAAGATGCAGCAATCCTTTCTTTTGTTCCACTTCGCAGCGGGTTTGTCAAAAATCGATAAAACAACGCAGCACAGACAACTCACGAGTCAGTTCAAGGACCCCCGTCCCATGAAAAGCTAGTCCCATTCACCCGGGCTACTGTCAGTGTGCACGTAACGCCAGAGCATTCGAGTTGGAACATAGTAGAAGCGCGTTGATCCTGGACATCGTGCTCCGTAACTTCCTGGAGCTGGTTCGACCTCTGGTCAACGCACGCAAGCAAACAAGCGAACCCGTTGAGCGCAACACGCGTACTCCTCGGTGACGTTGACGTTCTACCCTCCAACGGACTGCATTGAGGATGGCCCTCAACTCCAGAGAGTTGGTATGTTTACGACCCCCGGATCCATCTCCATCCTGACACAATGCGCCAGCGCCATAAGCGAGAGGGGCCTCAGGCGGTGAAATTTCACGAGCTGCATACTCGGTGTGGAGATGAGAATGTCCTCGCCTTTCAGGCTGATGAGGTTCCCCAACTTACCGGCTAATTGTTCTGCATCTCCTCGGGTCGACTTCACGCTCCGAATCGGCATCCGAACCCGCCGTCCTGGAGCGAGGCACACCCCCCTGGCATGCACTTGTCCACTACATCTTGAGGGGTCATAGGGTCTGCCATCCCGAGTTGAAACAACAATTGGTTCAACAACCACGCAATTACAGGCATGCTCCACGTATTCCCCATGTAGTGTAAGCCGAATGTCATTGTACCCCACCTGTTTGCGCTCCGACTTCCCCGAACAGGCCGCGGTGTAGTGGAGCGGAAAGCCAAGCATCATCTCTCGTTCCGCTGTGGAGGGCACCCGGTAGTACCCCTTCTTGTTGCACACACAATGCAATTCCTGGTGTTGGTACGGCGGGAAACGGTGAAGATCATGCCGCCAGCGGCTTATTTCCTGCTCAGAGCACTTACTGAGGCCAGCAGGCTTTCGCCCGGGTTGCTTCGAAGGAGGTGGTGGGAAAAGGTCTGACAGGATCAACTTTCTTCCAACCCGGCTCCAGGACGTCCTCAAGCCCCTGGTCTGCCTTTAACTTTAGAGTCCAGGTTGAGAGCACGCTGTGTGGTCAACAGTTGCTCCTGCGTCGCGCGAACTCGAAGTGCTCGTTGAGTCTTTCTCGGAGGGTCCGGACTTGTTGTTCTTTGCGACGCGCCTTCTTTGCAACCCTCTTGCGCACCTTCTCTCTCGGCTCCAGTCCGGTCCCTGCAAAAAGAGCTGATAGCTCCTTCATTGCCGCTGTCCTGGGCCTTCGCCCACTCAAGTCGACACTGCTCGGTGAAGACCTGGCTGCAACTGCAACTGCGTGCTTCCTTCTTGGCCTTCTCCTCCTTTTTGGGCTTGACGCCCCGATCGGGGGAGTTCCGACCCTCCTTCTTCCGCTTCTTGTCCTTCTTTGGGCGGCTCTTCTTTTTGTCCTTCTTCCCTTTCGAGGAGCGACCTCGCTCCCGCCCCTCGACTGCCTCAGCTGCTCCTCCAACGGTCAGTCCTTCGCCTCGGGCTCGAAGATTGGTGAGGTCGTCCTCTGCTGGGGGGACGGAGACGAAATTCTCTACCCAGCCTTCTTCTTGATCCTTTGGCTTCATCAACCTGGCCTTCACGATGTGCGACAAATCATCTGCTACCCAAGCGCCCGTGCACTCGGGGCTGCATCGATGAGCTCGGATCAGGCCAGTTGGATTTCCGCTGACAAAGCGCAGCAGATTCTCGTTGCTGGTGCCGCAAAGTTGTTGAAGGTGAAGGTGAAACGTCCCCCCCATCTATGTCCACCTTCTCGATAGTGCTAGCTGCTTGGCACCGTAGGTGCCCTCCGTGACAACCAACTTCACTCCTCGGCCTAGAGCTTCCAGTGGCACACTGTTCAACACCAACTCGTGGCCCGCCAGCCACTGCTCCCGTTGCCCAGGAGCCGGAGCCACCGCAGGCCTCCGCAACACGCCTCTCCTCTCAATGCTGCCGTTGCCGCTTTGGGTTTGGCCTTGGCCTTCACCCGACCTTTTGCTTTTGGCTTGGCTTTGGGTGGCATGACGTCGATCAACGGCGCCAGTTGCACACCCGCAAGCGATGCTTAACTCCTTTGGTGCCACGTGGGCGGCGTTGATTGTACCGAAGTGGACTCCGGGATGGACTTCTGGCTCTCCTGTGGCCTGACGACCTTGAGTAATGCGGTGGAGGATAACTTGGTTCCACTGGGCCTGTCCTGACAGGTGCAGGTGGTGGAGGTGGCAATCTGGCGAAGTGGTCCGCAACAGATCTTTTTGGTACTGGGGAGAGTGCCAGGAATGCAGGGTCAGACTCAATGTACCCTGACCAGTCTGGTTCTGATTCCTGTGGTGCTTCCGGCTTCGACCTCTTGGTCTGTCGCTCGTTCTCTTCCGTCTGACCTTCTTGTCCTCTTTCGCACCTTCCCTAGGCGATTTGTGCTTCCTTCTCTTCTTCTTTGTAGCTCCCGTACCTGGGCCAGGAGCCTCCTCCCTCTCTGCAGCCTTGTCCTTGTCGGTCTCACCTGGTACCGCGTCCTTCTCGCAATCTTCGACCTCTGCAAGGGCTCCTTGTCCTCCTCGCTGTCAACCTCACGCGTCTCACTCTCTCCTGCTTCCCGCACCAGGAGCGATTGGGATAACCTGTGGGGAAATCACAGGAGGTGCGTCCGCTGGAGCACGTGGAGGTAGAGTCTCAAGATCCACGCCTGTGGAGGGTTTGCAGCTTTCCTCTCAGCGGCTAACCTCGGCGCGGCCACCTCCGCAAGGTCCAAAAGTGCCCCAGCTGCAACCCGCAAGGTGGTCAAGGCCTGTTGCTCTTGATCCTTGACCAGTAGGTTACCCTGAACAAGCTCGTGCAACCTGTTCACGGTCCTGCAGCACAGACACAACCGATGTTCCCCTTTATCAAAAAGCCCGCACCTAGTGCAGGCCATGCACCGGGGTTCTCAGCTGAAGCCACACACTACGGAACATAGAAGAAATGAAGTGCATCTTAACTTACGGGGGCGAAAGAACATGTGTGTGTGTACATCGGCTAGGCGTTGGGTGGGTGCAAGCTCTCACCGGTCTGCGAGCCAAGTTGTGATGCTTGCATGGAAGCACAGGATTGTGGCCTACCTGTTTGAGCCTTCGTGTTCAAAAATCCTAGCTTTGGTGAGAGGAACTCATGAGCCCAGATCTTGGGCAAAGGCGAATGCTGAGGGGCAAATTTGTGAAACGGTACTTTGTTAGGAACATCTATTGTTTGTTAAAGACAAATGTCCTCTTCGCAGACTAGCCTTCACTTTAGATCAGTGATAATTTGAAGTTTGACAGGGTGGGATCATCTGTCCACTTCTTACCCACCCTGCCCGCCTGTGCGACCAAGTCCTACAGCGAGGGCGGCCGGAAAGGCCTGGTGTCGCCAAAGCTTAACCTGCGAGTGGCGGCGTTGAGCCGAAGAGCATCTTCTTGAAAGAGTTTTCACCGTGGCTCACCATCCGAAAGAGTCCAACAAACATGCGGATTTATCCCAACTAAGGTGCCCCTCACTGTAGACAGCGAATTCAAGGACGGCTGTTCTGACAAAGACCCATTGATGTGCCATGACCCTTTACCAAGCCTGACAACGAATCGGGTAGAAACATATGTAAAGTCACCATAAGCCACCTATTGCGGGCTTGAACAGGGTAGATCTTGGAATTTTGGGTTCGAACGTGGCTCGATTTCACACTGACTGTACCCATCAACCCATAGCTGTTCATCCATATTCCCTTTGCTGGAGACCTGCCTGCGGGTTTCCCCAGTCTTTGAGATAGACCCACGCCCAAGTCCAAGCTAAAAATAAAGACTATACGCTTCCGAATGATCATCTTTTCCTTCCCCATGCTCTGTGAGAGCACAAACAAAACAGTCTTAATCGCTTCATGCTACCCTATGGTCCAAAGTTCTGTCTCTCCTCTGTTTCGTTCAATGGAGAGACCCGCACAAGCAGCGCTGGTGAAAGCGAGTATGGACCAAAATGCCATTGGTCTGGGAGAGCCTCTCCGCCAGGAGACTACCATGACTACCTTAAATCCAACGAATTCTGACCAAGGTAGAAGAATGTTCTGATTCCTGTCGAATCCTCAAACCAAACTTCAAACTCCTCTGAAATTCATGGCCTCTTGAGTCACAAAGAGCCTGGAACACGAAATCCAACGCAAGCCCATTTGAAGAACGCTGAACGGATCTTCAGATTTCCCACCCAATCCAAACGACGTCTCTTGAAAGACGGATAGTGACCTCTGGTCGATGGGACGAAAGGGGATGGTTCTGAAATCCTGAGCTGTGTCCAGCATGTGACCTGGCAAAATGTTGCGTCACTCGCAGTCCTCATGCCTCTTGCACTACTCAATCACTCGTAACGGAAGGACCAAAGCAGAAACTATCCACTCGCTGAAAGCCACACGAACACGATTCTTATATACAAAAAAACAAAAAGTGTTGTTTGCATTACCCGACACATATGTTCAGAAGCTGTGTGTGTGTGTGTGCGTGTGACCGTGACCTCTGCCCTCATTATGACAAAGATATACTCTCCTTCGAGTCTAAAGGGTGTGCTGCTTAGCATAATAACATGAAAAGTATCCCGAATTCCTCCAGATGAAAAGCTACAGAACTCCTTCCAGGGCAAGTCTCTCAAGTCACCCGCACCTCACATCCACAAAGCGAGCTGAGCGGAAGTGGAGTGGTGAGGCCAGCAAAAGCGCCATGAAGCCTTTTGGGAAGGTTTTGTCTTGCCGCACCTGGTAAATGATTGCCTTGTTGGCATCAACCTGCATGCAACTTGGCCCAGTTGTGTGGGCGGTAAGGATCTGCTCACTAGAATTCTGTGACATTCATCCGGAGAGAAACAAGTTGGAAAGGGTTCACCAACTGGGCCAAAGCCTTTCACCTTTCACACGCCTCTTGCCTACTCGCATTTGATGATACTGGGACTTCAGCCAACATGTCACTTTACTTGCAGTATATATATATATATCCAATGGCAGGATCTTCGACGTTTGTTCATGAGCCATGTGAGAGCTTCGGAGAATGATCTGAAGGTTGCCTTAGGCGGTGCGTGTATATCATCGTTTCAAAAAGCACAAGTCCACTTTGCACAAAGAGCGATTCTGGTCTGCCAGTTCTTCAACTTCCTCTGGTGAGGAGCTACAGTAGCTTGTAACAAACATCTGATTGAGATGATTGGTCCCTTGACCAAAAAAAGACCCCGCTGATTCTATATAAAGTATATATGCAGCACACGGCCTTTCCTCTCCGCCTCACAGAAAATCGCTTTCAAACGGCTGTTGGACGTGAGATGAGACACACCGCTCGTTGGAGCAAGGAAGAGTTCTCTCTGCGGAGATGTCCACATTGCATTCTCAGCTTCAACTGGTTGGCCTTTTGGTTCTCGCTCTGTACTCTATGTGCAGATCAATCAGGGTATGCTGTTGTATGCCCGTATGTCGTATGACGTCGTATGCATAAGGCGCTCTCAATCGCCAGGCAAGGTCGAATACAAGAATGAGGACTGGATCACGAGGATGGCAAACCAGCTCAATGCAGACTTTGCAGAATGTCTGGCATCCCGATAGGTCAAGGACATCAAGTACACCATTGCCACCTGGGGCCGCCGCACCCGCTTTTGCCCGCGCTTCAATGATGACATTGCAAATGCAAAATATACTATCCTGAGGTTCTGACGCAAAAGCCTTTTGTGATGCACTTGGTCAAAGCAGAGAATTCATGTAGAAGTAGATTTCCAACAGTTGCGTCCAGCAATAGCATGAACACCAATGCCACAGTGCGCCGGTCCCAAGCATCAAAAAATCCACCCGGCCGCCGTTCTCGGTCACAGAAGTTCTCGTTCGGATCACAAAAAGCCATGAGAATCCTCAGAACGGATAAGTTTGAGCATTTGTGCGAATCTGCCACTCACACAACCATGTTTGAGTATATTTCTTGTGATTGTGGGACTTCATTCAGGAATGTACCAAAGTTATCCCAAGCTCACACAGGAATGGATGGTTCGTCCCGATCAAAATGTTCAAAGCAAATGGATCATCAAATAGCCAAACTAGAACGTGTCAGAGATTCTTTGGAAAAATGGACAACTCTGTCATGTTCAGCTTTAGGAGAGTGGCAAAATGAAAGAGTTAATGACCAAATAGCCAAAGTCCTCTGCAACGAACTTGGCAAAAAAGTCCAGTTCTCCACGTTTGTATACCCACTCCGCCAAAGTACCACCAGCTGAGTTTAACAATACCCAACCTGAGTTCACGGTCCATGGCATCATACTGTCAAGCAAACCAAAGAAAGAACTCCTGGGTGACATGTGCTGAACTGAAGCCCTGTTGTCCTCAAACAAATACACTGCAGTCAAGTTCAAGCACAGATGTGGTAGTCAAGCCAAACAAGAGATTAGATGTTGGTCAAATTTTAGCCCAACAACAGCTTCTGTTGAGGACCAACAGAATTTAGTTATTGAAGTTCTGTTGAGTCGGTTCCAACAAGTCTATTCAGCCAAGCAATGCCATGCACTTAAGTGTAGGCTTTCCCAAGCAAATATGTACAAACCACGGCGTGCTTCCTGCAGCTCATCCTATGGCTACGACGCAAATTCTTAAAAGGGAAGCCAACAAAGGATTGTGCCCTTTGACATGGCCTCCTACCAGTCTCACCATGCAAGTACAGTAGCACAACAGAAGGCCATGCCCACAGGTGAGTGTCAGCTTTCCATCCAGCTTATCCTGCTCCTGGACAACAGAATGAACAAGAATCAAGAATGCACCAGAAAAAAAATGCATTTTGGGGAGCATTCCCATGCATGGAACAGGCTGCACTGCAACCGGTGACCTTGCGAGATTTGGATTTTGCCTGAGTTCTTTGCATTATTTCGTCAATCAAGGTAGTTCGTAGGTTAAAAGAACCACGAATCTAACCACTACAGCTCAATGCACGTTCACGTCCATCTTTGCCGCTCCTTCATATGCATGTAAGCGAAGCAACTCACAGTGATGATGCCAATTGCCTGCCACTGGACAAAGTCATAGTGCCTTGCCAAACCTGAGCGCTGCTTGATGACATGAGACTGAACCTTGGAACTCTGTACTCAGTAATCAACAAGCTGTTTTGTCCCAAAACCAGCAAACAGCAAATTGACTTCATCTTGTATTATACCTGGGAGCAATAAAACAAATCTTTGACATGCGGCTCTGGAAGCGCAGCAACTTTCTCAAGCAAGCTGCCAAAGAAAACATGCAACTTGCTGTGTACAAACATTCCTTCTACACATAGTTTTGCTGTTCAAACTTGGGGGGGTCTGGAAATTGGCGGAGTCGAGGAGCAAATTGTCGACAAGATCGCAGTCATTGGCATCCGGAGCTGACCAAAGATCTTGATGGTGCCAGCATTGTGATACGCTACGGCCCTCATCTTTAAAGATAATCCAACGCTAAAGAACAAGCCTCAAGCGTGGCAACAAGCACAAGGATACGGAACTGCGGCAGCCTTTCATCTGCATGCCGAACAATATGATATCAACCAACATACTTGGAACATCTTGAAACAGCATCTGAACTTATTGGTGCAAATTCCAGGTCACAACTTGGTGCAAATTCCAGGAATTGATTGAAATTGAAGCACTGTTGGACAGCTGCAAGACCTCCACTGAGCCATTGGATCAATAAGCCCAAGACAATGGCCAAGCACGCCTCGAACACCAAAACAGTTTGCCGCACATACCTGCACTGAAGCTCAAGACCAACCGGTCAACAAGACTAAGGAAAAAATAGTTCTCCACTGCTATGCTTGCCAAATTGTGTAGTTTTTTTGCCATCTGCACACACTGATGAAGAGTACATTGGAAACCACTCGTCGTATCATCCATCAGGAGAGATTTTGAAAATTCGGTCCTTCTGCCGCTGCTTTGAACATCAGAGGCTGTGCGTCTCTCAGCCCAATCAGTCACAAAGGCTTGACCAGTATCCACCAGAATGAAGCTGGCAAGAAGAACAAAGCGTCGCAGGCGTGTATAAATGTCATTGATGAATGAGCCCGCCACCTCTGACAACATGAATCACTACTAGTACTACAGCATGATGGATTCCCAGTTGGATCTTTGTATCCTTCAGCCCTTCGATTCTAGTCCAGCAAACCAACGAACTGAGCATTGAAAATGGATGCCTCCCCATGTGACCCTTTTGATGAATTCATTGAATGGTTCAATCATTTGCAAACAAGGCTTAAGTGAATTGGGCCTGGCAGCAAGACAACTCCTCTGCCAGCCAACAGCATCCACACATATTTAGCTGAAAGCAGCAGGGTTGCTACTCCAATCATCCTCCTCTATTTATATAATTTCAAGGTGGCCACGTGTGGAAGACAAAACAGGTCTGGTCAATGTCCTTTTGGCTGCACATGCTACGCACGACGCCAAGGCACAAAGCCCACTTCTGTGATCAAACGCTTTGGAGTGTCGCAGAAGCAAAGCAGAAAAATACACCTGGGAAGGAATGCAAAGAAAGAGAAATGGAAAGCCTTTCACAGTACCTCTCCATTCGCTTCGAGGATTGACTGGATAGATGCTAGTCAAGTCTCCACATACTACAGCATGATGGGTAACTCAAACAAGACATACTGTTAGGCAGCAAAAGAAAACAAGCACTGGTATGCCCTGGTTGTGCTTCCTGATCGAAGTCAGCGACTAAAGGTGTTCCAATCCATACGGTCAGATGGCACACATAAAATGTGTCATCTGCAAAGCAGGGAGAGGACCACCTTTGAGGGCCATCTTGCAATACATTCATAGTGAAGCCTTCCTAAAAGCCTTGCTGCTTCTCTACTCTAAGATCCACACTGCTGGGTAAAATCAAAGTATGATGAGACTCACATCATCTCTTCTCCATGAGCATCACCAATTATATATATATACAGTATATCGAATCTAACCTTCTGAACCTTTTGGTCCGTACAATCCTAAGATGTTTTGCGCAGGCAGCATGATAGCATTGAATACAACGATTGCCAGAAATGACACCTCAAAAAGGCCACACACACACGAAAGATCCAGCTGTTTACACAGAAACACTCAAACTGCTGAACAAGATTTGAAAGTCCTTGTCAAGTCACATGAAAATCCACGCGCGACGTCTATGAATCATGTTGCCCAACTCTCGGGGAAAAAAACCTTCGTCGCGAGCTGGCGCCAATTGGTCGAAGTCGCCTGAAAGTGGTCGGCGCGTCCGGCGACAGCAAAGGACACAAAGGAGTCAGAAGTGCAGCCGGGGAGAGCGGAGAGTTGTAGCTGTTCTTTTCCCAGTATTCTGTCAGTCATACTTCTCAAAGATTTGCAAGAAGTCCTGCTTAAGTTGATTGTAATTGTCACAACAGCACTGCTTAAGGTTGATCTTGCCAGTGGAAGTACAATGATAGGCAAGCGGCACTGCCACTTGCCAGCTTTAAATACATGTCCAAAGTTTTGAGGCGGCAAAGGAGGAAACTTGGAAACCAACCGATCTGTTTTGAGGCGATTCTGGCAGTCTTTGACAGAGGGAAGAAACCAAGCTGGGAAGTAATGAAGTGTTCCGACACCTCCTGATGAAATGTGTTTGAAAAAGGCTTTGAGCTTATTGAGTACTTCAGGCTACTTTGGCCCGAGCTTTTGGAACTGTTTTTGCTTACATACTTCCTGGGACGGTTTTATCACTTTTACACAACTCTACTCTACATCTGCAGTAGTTCAGTCCAAAGTTCAGTCCAAAGCTCTTCACCATCAGCGCCCAGGTAGATCGGGGCGAGCGGAATCACACAGCTCCATGAGCACGTCAGTTTTTGGCACAGGAATCTGCAAAAGCCTGTGAGCTCAACTGATTATACTGATTCTGCTGTTTTGTACCGATAGGTGTTCTTCCTTCCAGCTTCCTAATCTGCCTATGTCAAAACACTCCTTGAAGGCCTTTTGTTCAACCTCTGAGGTCAGATAGGGTGTGTCAAGGATGGGGATAGGGCGCGAACAGGTTGGGAGCTTGGCTTTGCACTATCTTGCACTCGTGAGTTACATAGTGCAAGAAAGGATGCCTCGTCTGTATCGGATTGCCAAGCGCATGTTCACTTGCCAGGTGTTCTTAATTTCAATGTCTTTGTCAAATGCATTCAGCAGCCATGTCCCAGCTTCAATGACTGATTCTGAAGCAAAGATTGAGGTGAAAATATGTGAAAATAGCCGCCAGACGTACTGAAGGGTAGTTTGGACCGAATGAATAGTGCGAGCGCTTCTTCAGCAATGTCCCCCCCACCGGGGGAGCTTTCTTGGAGAAGCGTGAGCTATCCTGCGTCCTACCTAGTACTTGTGTCCTTCTTTTTGGCCTGTCGGCTCAATGAATGTTGGAGATGAGTGAAATACTCAGCCTCACAGTGGTGCTGCCTGTCATTACTCGAAACACGAGTTGAGCACTGCCTGAAGTTTGAATTTGAAATGTCTTTTAAGCATTAAACCACAAAACAAGAGGATCGGCTGACAGGCAGCACAGAGCAAAAGAACCCCTTTGTTCGGGGCATCAACAGTCTGATGTAGCCAAGTGCAACCTGCCTTTCCACCCGCACTACCTATTGAAAATCCTTCCTGGCTGTTACGGTGCACAACATGAAAGGCATTCAACAGAGCTGCATTTGATCCAGGATAGACCAGCGTCTCTCAATGCTTTGGATCTACAAACTATGCATATGCATAAGTAATCCACCAGTGATGAATCTTCAATCATACAAGGACCAGGAAGAGTTGCCTCAACAGTTTCGGGTTGCAGGTCCATTATCACTGTGCCACTGCTGCTGTCCTGGAAACGACTGCGTGGATCGGATCTCTACGGTTAAGCCCGGCTAAATCATTCAGGTGTTGGATCATCTTGCTCCTTCTACCCCTTCCTTCTGTACCTTTTATATAGTGTGCTTACATCAGTCATCAGTCCCAACCCTGGAACTCCGTTTGCGAACAGCAAAGGGACAAAGCCTTGGGATGGACTGGGACGAGATTCACACAATGCGATGGGACAGATCAACAAACGAAAGGTGCTAACGACGAACGCATGTATGGTTGGACCAAGGATGACGGGTGAATAAGGACATTGCAAACGCCTGAATACCGATGAGAGCAGTTCACCTCACCAAGAGTCCTCAAGAGAAGAGGAGGTGATGTGGGTGGAGGTGAGGTATGGTCATGGTGAGGTGGTATGTTTTTGGCACTGCTATCACACTTGCTGAAATAGCTGCAGTTGGAGAAGGGAGTGACAGAAGAAGCAGCAAGAGTGATCAGTCCAACAAGCACGCCTGAAGTCTTACTTCCAACAGCACTTTTGTTTTGCAAGACAAGACAAGGCTTTTCTACGTTCTACCAAGGACTTTTTCTATCTTCTTCTTGACTGCGGGTCCATACAAAAATGCCCAACCCAGCCCGCGCCTGCGCACGAGCTCGCTTAGCTGGGGAAGTCGTCATCGCCGAAGACGCACTCGTCATCATCATCACCGTCATCCTGTAGCTGAAGACGGGGGTCAGAGAACACCGGAGACCGGGATGGTGATAGGCATCCATGTGTTCAACTTGCTCTCTTGTGGCACCGGTTTCATGTAGTACAAGTGATGTGCAGTAGGTATTGTACGATCCTTTTAGTGACTGGAAAATGTCGTTGATTGCAGCTCTCACGGCAAGACAAAGGCGTGAAGCTAAGTGTCCCCAGTTGCAGTACTGCTTTGTGAAAATCATTGCCTTCCGCCTAGCCAAGTTGTCTACATCGTCAATCATCGTCACGATCGTGCTGTGGAGACCACGGTGGTGTAATCAACGGTTGCTGGGGAGCTGAATCGCAATCTGACTGTTGTGACATCCAACGCGATCGTGCCTCAGGGAAAAGACCCTTCTTGCGGAGGAAGTTGTTTGCCTCAAACGCCACAACGTCTATGAGGTTCTACAACAAGTGATGGATGGCAGGCTTTCAAGACACTTGCGAGGCATGCTCTCATACTACTTTAAAGCATGCTGTCTGTACCAGCTGTTTTTTGAGAGCTGATGCCTTTCATGAAAAACAAGACCCAAGCCTCAAGGATCAATCCTTCCCTGATCTTCAGTGGGAAAACGCCCTTGTCCTGCTCAGCCGCATGGTGAGAGCTCGAGCATGTAGTTGGCATTCTCGCTTTATTCGTCACTCAAGATTCAAGATAGTGATGTGCAGCAGTGCATATATGTGCATAACTAAAAATCAAATCGTACGCAGTATGTCGCCTCTCCTTTATTAATACTGGGTTTGGATGAAATTGGCCAAGGCAAGCGCACATAATGGTACAGATTTGGATACGTAAATAGTTGCTCTTGGATCTGCTGCGCTGGTTACAGTTTGCCCAGACATGGTTTTCTATTTCGCCAATCTCGCTATGTCTTCCGTTTCAGGGGAGCTCTGTAGAGATCACCTTGAAAAAAGATTGAAAGCTGCTCACTGTTCAATATCTCGAAAATCCACGGTCTCCGGTCCGCGTTGGTGGCGATGGTTCCTGTGCAGTAGTCCTGCCAGCTCCAGGTCCGTATGTTACATGTCTGACCCTTGAGATGTGAGGATCAATCCTTTAATAATCCTTTGTCCCATCAACCAACAAATCATTTCTGTGGCAGTTAGACCATGCACCTCATGAGCATTTTCGCTTTTCGATCGAGCACTTCGATTCGAGCTGTTGATGAACACGCCAACCATACGGTTTGGCTCAAGCTGAGCAGGTGGAAAGACCGCTTGCTTTGAACGCCCCAACTCATACCTCCTTAGGTTATGAGCCCAAACCGCTAGGGTTCTAAGTCCACCCACAACCTTTGAGTGAGAGGTGTGGTTGCTGGCCGCCATGGCCGCTTTGCAGCGCCGACGCAGGCAGAGCTCCCGAGAAGGAGCAGCTGAACCCGCAGAGGCCCCTCGACGTGCACATCGAGAAGATCGAAAGAAGCCACAGCTGGAGGAAACGGCGGATCAAAAGTTGGACCGGCTGCTCAAGGAGCAAAGGGCAGCTCGGGCCTCGTCACTTCCCGCTGAAGATGATCTTGCTGTTCGACGCTTGGCTATGCACCCTACGGCTGAGGGAGGTGAACCTCAGGGAGAAGAAGAGAGGGAAGTGTGGCACTTCAACCTGGACATCATGGAGGGCATCACGATGCGTCAGCTGGCCAGCTGGCCGGGGCTGGAGGCCTCATGAGCGCCTTGCATGATCCTCGGGCTAACGCCTTGGGTCTGGGCGGATTGCAAGAAGCAGCACGCCAGTCGTTCGAGTTGTTGCAACAGGCATTAGGCCACCACATGCCGCCTTCACCGGCTCCGGGACTTTTAGATCCCCTTCTTCGAGGTTCTGACCTACCTCAAGGACCAGGTTCGGGACTACCTCATCAACCAGGTGGCGGATTCTTTGGTGGGCAAGGTTCTTTGGCTGGAACTCCACATCAACCTGGAGCTCCGCATGGTGATCCACGAATGGGCACGCCTGCAAGCACAAGGCAGGTAGAGCGGGAGGAGGTGAAACCCACTGTGCTTGAACCATTTCGCACTCCACAGGGCCCTCTTGCCACTGTGAACCCCTTCTGGACCACTTCAATTCAACAAGAGCTCGGGCTACCAATGGAAGTCCAGGACCTGGAGATGTTGAGAAACTTCGTACCCAGATCCTCAAAGAGGCGGAGGAGAAGTTCGCTCGTGAAGTCAAACGCATAACTGATGGAGCAGGTGGTGGTGATGCATCGTCGTATGCTTCCGTAGCCAGTGGTGGAGTTGATGGTCGTGGAACTGCAACACATCCTGGACTACCACATGCTGATCCCTCAGGTGCAGGTGGCCCTCCCGGGTCAGGACCAGATCCTCCCCCAGGCCTTCATGGTGGACAACCTCATGGTGATGCTCGAACTCCACCGGCTCCGGTCGTTCCAGAGGCCGTGAGGGCTTTGGATCTTCCTGCCCTCCCACTACCTTCATCCGAAGGCGCGGCACTGCAGTTTGGGGATTGGCTGACTGTGGCCTATCCATTGATGGCGGATTTGTCCTCTACCTCACAGTTTTGGTGGGATGGATGCCTTTCTGCCTCTCGTGAACTATATGAACAGTGGCTGGTGGCCACGCCCTTGGAGAGGTTGCGCCTGCGGCCAAAAGATGTCACTGTGGAGTATTCCAACCTGGAGGAGGAGCTGAACGCACAACGCTTCTCAAGAGCCTCACCGAGGTGAAGGTGGGCCACTCCGTCACGGAGCTCTTGGCAACAATGCGGCAGCGGCGCCGATGGTTGCAGCGAGCTGAAGAACTTAAAGTCACGCTGCCAGACCCGCTGATCCTCATGAATGTCCTTGGCAAGATCACGGACTCGCTGGCCAAGCTGGGAGGCAGTCAAGTTGCGTACAGAGTCTCAACTGTGCGTCAGGAATTGTTGGTTGATCAACGCCCGGAGATGAACTCCATCAAGGACCTCAGCGAGTACCTGCAAGCGGAATTGGAGGAGCTAGCTCTGGTCATCGCAGTCCCTAAGGGTGCCGCCAACATGACGAGCTCGACCACTACCAATGAAAAGACTCCGGTGGTGAAGGCGATGCAGTCCGGCACTCAAGAAGAAAAACCTCGGTCTCCGTGCAAGTTTTGGGGGACCCAACATGGCTGTAAACGAGGAGACACTTGTGGCTAGGGGCATAGCTGGGAGGGCTTGGACCGACAGCACAGGTGCTTCTACTGTTCGGGGGAGGGTCACATGGCGAAGGATTGTGTGCACCGACAACCCAAGAACTTCAAGGATGTAAGAAAGGCAGCTCGCTTGCGAGGAGTTGCACCCGAGGGCTCAAAAGAAGGCCCAACCAAAGAAAAGGAGGTGGAAGTGGGAAGTCCTGGGTCTACATCGACTTCGAGCCCATCGCCCTTGTCGCCGACGACGGTGTCTGGAGGGATTGAAGGATTCGGGAGGCGGTTCTCCGGCCAAGTCAACGCTGGAGGAGAAGCCCAAGAATGACATCGCCACAGACCTCATCCAGGAAGCTGCAACGCTGCTCAAGACGCTTCGGTCCGTGAAGACGATGCGCCTCAAGCAGATCAGTGCTCACCCTCAGGAGTTTGGGACTCAGGGGTTTGCCCTTTTGGATGGTGGGGCCACTCATGCCCTACGTGTTGCTCGACCCGAAGAACGAGCTGAACTTTTTCCGGTTGAAGTGGAGCTGGCGCAAGGCTCAACAGTTTTGTATCGCCACCCCAAGCATCGCACCTTGCTGTCCCTGACGGAGGTTGAGCCGATCATTCCTCTGGGTCTCTTGGTTGAGCGCGGCTTCAAGGTGGAATGGCGACGTTCGGGATGCAGCATCCACCGCCCAACACTTGGCCCAATCGCCTGTTGGCTGAGGAATGGATGTCCCATCATGCATCGGCAGCCTGCGCTGGACATGTTGGCGCAGTTTGAGATGGAGGATCAGGGGAGGTGGCTCTCTCTGATGAAGATCGAAGTTGGTGGCAGAAGCATTTTCCTGAACTACCACTTCCAGTTCTCCAGCACATGGCTGGTCAAAGTCAAGAACCTACAGCTCCGCCCTGGAATCGAAGGTTGCGACGGGCCCACATGACTGGAAAGGGTGTCATTGTTCACCTTTTCAGTGGAGCTGATGCCAAGAAATGGAATGATGTTGGTGGAGGCCGCTACTCATGGTTGCGCATCGACACTGAGATCAATGCAGCCCTGAACCTCCACAACCCGTCAGTTTGGAGTTACTTGTGGAAGCTGGCATCACTTGGCCGCATTGTTGCTGTCATTGGAGGTCCTCCATGCAGAACTGTAAGCCGCCTTCGAAATAAGGCTCCTGGCCCTCGTCGACTACGTGGCCGAGGAGAAGATCGTTGGTGCCTTCCTGATTTGGACGATGATGAGCAGCGCTTGGCCCACGGCGACACTGCACTTTGCATGAAGCATCTTGGTCTTTGGCTACGTGCTCAAGAATGCCGTCGTGTTCTCACGGATGTTGGAATGTTGCTGGAATCTCCACGTGACCCAGCTGAATACTTGAGCGATGAAGAAGGAGCTCGAAGCGCCTCTTTTTGGTGCTTCCCTGAAATCACGGCTTGGGTTGGAACTGCAGGACTTCGTTTGGTCACCTTCGACCAAGGACGTTTGGGCCATCAGCGGAAGAAGCCCACTACAGTCTTGACCAACCTCCCGGCCTTCGAAGAACTACATGGTCTCCAGGGTGAAGGTTGTGATGATAGTCCACTACCCACCAAGCTGGCAGATCGCATTCGCACTTCAAAGTCTTGGGCCGCTTGGGCGCCAGGACTTGTGGCTGCTGCTTGGCGTTTTGGAGGAGGAAAGTCGAAATGGTGACACTCACAACATGTCCAAAATGGACCTTGCAGCCTGGCACCGACACATCAAACAGGGGCACATTCCCTTTCGTGCTGACTGCCGAATCTGCGGCGAAGCGATGGGCTGTGATAAACCGCACAAAAGACTTGGGGGAGTGCAACGAAGTTCACTATGTCAGCGGACCTATGTGGACCCTTCCCTGCTGGTCGTGACCTTGGCACTGGAGTGACCTGTAAGTATGCACTGATCTCCACTGTTGCCGTGCCCATCATCTCAGAGCTTCCAGGCGAGGTTGCCGAGCCCTATGACACTCCAGACGACGTCAAGCACACCGAGGACCTGCCCTGTGATCCCGAGGAGCGAGAGATGCTCTCTGATGATGAAGTTCAGAGGCTCAATGAGTTGGCCCAGATTGAAGAGGCCCAAGAAGCTCCTGGACACCAAAACATCACGTTCGCTGAGGTGATCCCAGATAGAACTGTGGAGTCTTTGGTCCGTGCCCTTTCGCGACTACATGCAAAGTACCACGTGCTGGGCATTCAGGTGTACCGCCTCCACACAGATCGAGAACGATCTTTTGCCTCAGTCCCAATTCAAAAATGGTGTGAGCAACGTCAACTTCGATTGACCCTGACTGCAGGCGATGACTCAAAGGCCAACGGCCGCATCGAGGGAGAAGTGAACCAGATCAAACGTCGGACTCGACTCCTTCTACATGATTCTGGACTACCTCAATCCCTCTGGCCAACAGCCCTACGACATGCTGCAGAAGGCCGTGTGCGCCTACAACTTGAAAGATTGGGCCTGCCGAGCCCACCAATGCTTCGCTATGGAGCTTCAGTTTTGGTCAAGTCCAAACGATGGCATCGTGCTGGACAACTCTCAATGCCCTACCGCACCATGCAGCTCTTGGGACCATGCCCATACATGTCACATGGTTGGATCGCCCGCGACAAGAAGGGGCAGCTGCTTCATGTGCGGACGGCTTTGGAACCTTCGCCGGTGGCTGACCAGGCGATCATGGATTTGCAGGAGGCGCCATCAATCAAGCACCGTATTGTGGGGAAACATCCACCACCTCTACCTGACCATTCTCTTGCTGGAGCCGTGGGGGCCTTGTATGCTTGTATGATAAGTCTGACCCAGCTCTTGCTGCCTGCCGAGCTGGGGGGGAGGATCCTTTGCCCTTTTTGGACGACGTTGGCTGCTCCTTGGCACTTCAATTTGAGGATGAAGGGGAGTCGGAGGAGGTTGTTGGAGGTCTCATGCTCGATAGTCATGATCAAAGTGATCAATGTCAACAATCTGACCTTCTGGGGGAGCTGGAAGATCCCATGTTCTGCTGCAGCAGTGGCATGAACTTGAACAGCAACGTCACTGGGCTTTGAAGCAACTCTGGCGCCAAGGCCTTCGAGAAGTTGCAGTTGGCGAAGACGCTGGGAGCGTTCATGGCAGCTGGCTTCGTGAAGTTGAAATGCTGCTCCGAGGTGCTGAAGATCAATTGTCGTTTCAGCATTCCTCGCTCCAGAACTACAAGATCGCTTCTCTGGCTCCAATGGCTGGTTCAACTGAGGTTCCGGTCACGGTGCTCCAGACCTACACGGTCTCATTGCAGCAGGTCCGCAAGGAACTGGAAAAATGGAAGCCTCCCTTGCGTGATGAATATGGCCAACTGGTCTCATCGACCCAGGCAATCAAGCCAACTACCGAAGAAAAGTTGCGCCTTGATCCAAGGTTTACTTGCTCCAGCCATGCTTGTTCCCACGGTCAAGAGTCCCCATGAACGCCTCAGAGCACGGGTGGTCATCTGCGGAAACCATCTCACCAAGGTCAACGAGGACAACGACAACTCTGCAGGTGAGATGAAGTCGAAGGGTCAAGCTCCGTATTCACTCTATGCAGGTGGAGCGGATGGGACTATGCTGCGTTGCTTGATGCGTTGCGCGGCTCAAAAGTCCTGGTCCATCGGCACGGTCGACATCAAAACAGCATTTTTACTTGCACCACGTCCTGATGAGCAGGAACGTTTGCTGGTTGCTCGCCCACCTAAGGTGCTCATTGAAGCTGGGATTTGCCCGCCAACTGAACTTGGATTCCAAACAGCCATTCCTAATATACCAGCTACAACCGCTTTGAGCCTAGAACAAACTGACTGGTGTTCATCTTTCTGCCCAATCCCTGAAGACACACGTGCTCCTAAAAAGTGAAAAAACTTCTGCCATGAAGCCGGGTTATTGGCTTCGTCAGCAAGTCCGAGGGCAGTTCAGTGCCAGGACATGCAAGGTGCGCCAACACTGCTGCTGGATGCGCTCCTTGACCACATAGGCCCTCAGCCTCAGATGCCTCGTGCGCCATGGTCCATCCGGCGCAACCAAAATCTTTAGCCCAGTTTGCGAATCACCGCAAAGGACCTGCTCTCCTTCGAGGTGGAGCTTATGGTCCTCCAACACGTTCACGATGGCCGCCACCGACTCGCCCATCACGACTCCATCAACATAGCCCATCAACTCCGATTCGGCGCTGGAGAGGGTGGCGAACGGCTGCTGCCGACTTTCCCATTGAACCGGGGCTCCATTGTAGGTGACCAGCAAACCTTGTTGACCTCTTCCACCTTGGGGACCGTGAGAAGCATCCGAAAAAACCCGAACACTGGGGAGCTTGGTTGTCTCGGACTCAATGGAAGGAGCCTCAAACACCTGTTGGGTGTAACACAGCTCATAGTCCACGGTGGAGTGCAAATACCCAAGCATGTGAGCCCCCCATTCCAAAACTTTTCCAGGAGCTTTCGTCACCAAGCGGCCCATGATGGAGACTCCATAGCTGAGGTCAGGTCTGGTTCTGCCGCTGAGCCAGAACAATTCACCAACGAGAGCCTGGGCTTTGCGGACCTGTTCAATGGAGATGTTTTCCTCCAGTTCATCTTGTACGCCAAGGGGCAAAGGAGTTTGTCTCGACTTGATACCTTCGTGGCGTGCAAGGAGATCACGGGTGTAGGAGGCCTGGTTCAAAATGACCTCACCTGGGCGGCACTTGATCTCAAAACCGCAAAACTTGAGGGACTTCTCCGAAGATGCCCATTCTGGTTCTGAGCAGCGCCAATGAGCCCGGATTCCATCAATCACTGCATGGGCGAGGGAACTTGGAGCAGCAACCAGCATGTCAACGTACACTGCCAGAAAGCCTTCTGAGATGTCCTCCTCGGGAATGCCGGTGGGGCATGTTTTGATCAGCTTCCAAAGGTTGGGCTCTGGCGTAGTGACCAGTTGGTATTCTTGACCTCCAGCATTAAAGCGCAGCTGAGGTAGTTCACGGTCACGATAATGCGACCAGTTCGCAGGAGCATCGTTCAGCCCGTAATCGACCCTTGCAGCCATGACCATGGCAGCTGTTCGCGCTGAGCCGCTGCCATGGACCACTGCCGGACCTCACGAATGGCCACAGTTCAGGCTTCCTCCACGAGGCCGAGATCGGTGGGGACGCCTTCGCGATGGCTGGTGGGTTCGACACCACGTCAAACCAAGGAAGAGACCTTTCCACCCCGTGCATCGGCAGACGCCGTTTGATGCAGCGCAAATCCGCAGTGGTCGGGTCACTGTGGTATGGCTGCATGGTGAGAAGACGGTGGTGGAGGACGACTGGCGCAATGGCACCAGGCCTATGGTTCCGACAGAGGAGCAGTGGGTGGGCTACAGCTTTTTCCGTGACAACCCACCTCAACCTCCGCTGCCTGAGAATGCCACCTTGGATTCACAGACGAGCTCTTCAACGCCTGCTGGCCAGACGACTGGAAGCTCCTCGACGCCGACTCCACCTGGACAGTCGCTGTCAACCTCGCAGGTCAGCGCTTCATCGGGCCCACCGCCGGTCCGACCAGAAGATGAGTTGCTCAGAGGGGATCAGGAGGGTTCGAAGAGGCTCGACTGATGGCTCCACGGGGACACCTTCAAGTACCATGTCCTCGACGATGACGGCATCTACTCGCGGCATGGATGCAATGGAAGCACCTCTGTCCCTTGGCTATTTGGGCCGTGTGAGAGGACAGGAGATTCGTGGTGAGAGGACTGCACCACAGCAGATGCAGGTGCCACTGGAGGAGGAGAGATCCGATTGGATCCTGTCTCTCCACTCCGAAGGCCTGCTGTTCGCCCGGCATCCCAATTTGCCGGATGATGCAACACCTCAGTGGCTGGGCATTCAAATGCCTGCGGCGCCGCGCTCGCGCCCTGCCGGCGCTGGACGACCGGACGACCAAGTGAGGGCTCCCGCTGCTGGAAGTGAGGGCTCAATGCCCGCTACCCGAGGTAGCCAGGGTCCCATGCCCGTGAGTGAGGAGTGGGATTCTGATGGAAGCTATGAGCTTCTTGCAAACTGAAAGGCTGACCGAAAAGGTCTTTTGGCCGATGGAATGCGGTGGCGCACCGCAGGGGGAGTGTGGCAGTTAGACCATGCACCTCATGAGCATTTTCGCTTTTCGATCGAGCACTTCGATTCGAGCTGTTGATGAACACGCCAACCATACGGTTTGGCTCAAGCTGAGCAGGTGGAAAAGACCGCTTGCTTTGAACGCCCCAACTCATACCTCCTTAATTTCAAAACGACGCAACAGCGGGGGTAGACAAAAACCACCGGAAAAGATCCATTTTCCCACATTCCCCCCCCACACCCTGTCTGTCTTTATTGTGATGCATTCCATGTCTGAGGCGGACATGTGGCTTGAGAATCGAACAATGGCCTGCCTTGGCCTTGCTAAGGATCTTGTGCCCTGGCTGGGTGCTCAAGACCTTCTCAAGCCATTCCTGGTCGAGCTGATGATATCTGCAGCACGAAAAAGAAGGGAGAAGTTTAGAGTAGAGCCACTGGATCTTCCAAGAACCACCGTACTAACCGGAAAAAATGCAATCTTTGACAAACTCCAAGAACCAATGATCAAACACTTCGACCGTCCTTTGTCGTCTGACCCTTCTCTGTGAGTTGGGCTGGCTTTTGCGCACGGAGCGTCACGATGGGTGAGAAAAAACGCAAAATCAACAAAATGATGCCATACAGGAGATTGGTGGGCTTGTTACTTGGGTGACTGAAGTGGGAGATCGCAGAAAGTCCATGGACTCGTTTAATGCTTGAGATGTCTCACTTCTATAGTGTTTCATTATTGGTTCAAGGGCCGACCCCAAATGATACACGACTATAACATACACATTTGGAGCGAGTCCACTCTTCCAGGACCAATAAGTTCAGAATCGCCGAGCTTGCGATCTGTTCCCCAGGCAGCACAGGTCTCCAAGCCTCGCAAACGAGCTCCGGCTGCTTCTCCTCAGGCACGTAGGCCAGAACGGCCAACTGCTCAGCGCCAGCTGAGAAGACCTCGCACAACCGCCCCGCGTGCAGCGGCAGGTGTTAGCACGGCTGATTACCTACCTGGACCTACCTGATCATCCTGATGGGGCTGTCGTTCCAAGTTGCTGGACCTTTGCACCAAGCCTAGACCTTTGATCGCTGAATATTGGGCGACTTGACCCGGCACAAAAGACCGTGTTGTTTCTCCGTTGCAAAGTTGCAAAGACAAGCTGATCGACTCAAGAGCGAGTAGGGACGCAAATCGTAGTCACTTCTTGTAATTTACAGCCAGAATCGAGCCGCCTGTGACATGGGGTGCCCATGCAACTAATTGTCTCAGGTGCACGCCATCTTACCAATGTGTCCAGAGCCGCCTGCAATCGAGTTATAAAATACAATTATATAGGACAATAGTAGTTTCAAAGGGGACGCGGCTCAACTCCATTATATACCATTACATACCTCTCAAAATTCAGTTGTACAAATGATCTACATGAATGGCGGCGCCTTTGCGCTCCTCCTCATTGGGGTCGGACTTGGCATTCATGGCCTGGCAAACATTGTTAAGGGGACCTGTCACGTCACGAGTTGAATTGCACAGTGGGGCGTATCCTCCCCTGGACCTAGATTCTCAGCAGCCTTGACAGAACCCACACCACTGGTTAAAAGAGCAAGATCAAGAGGCATAACAGGAAAACCCATCAAAGTCCTGAAGTCAAATCCACGCAATGAGCCGTTGCCTCAACGCACTTCTTTAAGAGGTCCACGTCGCCCTGCGGAAAAGTTTGGAAACTAGGATGGTTTCCAAGCACATGTGGGAACCACTTTGATATGCTGAATGTCAGAAGCACACCCTACAGACCCATTTCGATAGCTCAAGCAAATCCAGGCGTCAAAGTCTAGTCACTTCTCCCAGAACACGCAACTTTCCCAGAGGCCTCTGGCTCGTCCACGGAAGTGCAGAAGAACCTGGAAGGGTGGAGAAAACACTTTTCTACTGCATGTCTAGGGTCTAGAGTGACCTAGGAAGTATCTAGAATCTGTATATATATATATATAGTGGGGAGGCTAATCTCACCAAGTGCAATCAAGTGCAAGTCACCCTCATTCTCTGATCCTATGATTCAGTCTGAGACCCTGGCTGCAAGCCACCCATGTCTGCGGCTCCCTCGATCTCGACGCCACGCTTGCCACCCTCCTTCAGCACCTACCAGTTGCAGCATCAAAATATTTCCAAAGTTGCAGGCCGTTGCAGGCTCCTCTTTCCGTAAGCAAAGCCAGTGCGTGAAAGCTCATACAAGTGTGCCATAAACTACATTGACAAAGTGTGCTGCCAAGCCTTCTTCAGCTTCTTAGCCTGAAAAACGGATCACAAACACAAATTGCGTTCTTTGTTCTGTGGGCAAGCTCCTCACAGCAAATGTTGTTCAGAACACTGGGTGTACCGTGTAACAAATGGGGCGAAGTGATGGGTGTACAGCGGGCATTGCACGGCGGCTTGGCAGCATCATGTACATGCACGATGTTTGAACCATGATCTGAGTCTGCTGCGGCTAGGCAAAAACAGCACTGCCCGGCATTCACAAGGTGTTTACAGTGAACTATGAAACATCATATGCACGGGCCAACATGTCCTCTTCCTGGTGTGCATGGTGGCCGATGTCAAACTGATCTCGACATATCTTAAGTTTTTGGAACTATAAATGAACATATAAACTGCCTCATAAAGCTCAGTGCAACATTCCATGGAGGGTTAGTGAATGCCAACGAATGCACATTGCAATTGTAAGGACCGCTGTGAGCCACATGTCATGTACTCTTCACAACATAAAGTCTGCATGAGCGGAAACTGGTTTCTGGCAACTTCAGCCAAGTGGCCGGATCCTCTGCTGGCTTCTCCTCGGCCTTAGGAGCCTCCTTCTCCTGTGAAGGGACCAGAGTCGCACATCTTTGGTTTTTCTGAAAGCCTTCGAACAGAAGAGCGCCCCTCTGTTCGATCAGAAAGAGAATCGTTGACTTGAACTGGAGAGTTTTCTGAGGTTTCCTCTCTTATCTCCATACAGTAGAATCTACAAATTTGGGATGATCAACCAAGTAGTGAATCACAGTTTTGAGAGCACGCACGCCATCACGGTCGTCCTTCTTCTCTTGGGCCTTCTTGATATCCTTCTTGTTCATCTTCACCTCCCCGCCGCTTCACAGAACAACTGGGTCCAGGAAATTTGGGCATATATTGATGTGCCAACCAAAACAATATGCCGAGCTCCAGGTCACGCGACAAGCGGACGCCAGGTGCGTTCGCAAAATGGTTGATCTTCTTGAGGCTGGGCATGCATTTGATATTGGTGCATGTAGATGTTGCTTGACCATGGCTCAAGTCAATTGGAGATTGAGGTCCAAACCGTCTAAGCTTTTGAAAAAAGACTACGCGACGAATCGTTGCGGGCATGGAAACATGAGCCCGCCAGTGTTTAGGTGCACTGTATATCATAGGAGAGTATGTGAAGAACCCCACTCAAAAACTTCTAAGGAGAGGTGAATGGCATCGGCATAGGTGTACCTGGACCTGGCACTCAAAGAAAATTAGTGGATCTGGCACGGGCTCACGCAAACGCACTTATCACCAAGGCCGCGCAAAACCGCGTGGCACAGCGATATCACAAACGTAATTTGGCCACACGGTGCGCAACAGACTGGATACAACAATGCAACATTAAGCATCGTGGATCTTGGCGCCGCCAATCATCCGCCAGCGACGCGCCGAATTTACACCAGCATGCGTTCCTTCCCCCATCTTTCCTCCGAGGCCCCGCAAAACTGCATGGCACAACAACATCACAGCCTGCATTTGGCCACACGGTGTCCCACAGATGACTAGTCCTGTACTTTGGGGAACCCTGCGCAGCCAGGAAAAACATCCTCGCCCATCCATGGGTCTACTAAACCCTGCCCCAACATCTAGACCAAGTTGCCCCGGTGACCTCAAGACCTTGAAGACCTTTCAGAACACTACATCAGCCTCCAACCCGGAACACTTCCCAGAAGCAGCTTCCCGCGCGACATGTATACTAGCAAGTCGCCATTTCTACGACAGCTACGCACAGTTATACACACTTTGGCAACCTCCACCTTCGCTTTCGGCGACGGTCACACGCTTTGGCAACCTCCATCTTCACTTTCGACGACAGTTACACACGTTGGCAACCTCCACCTTTGTTTGCGGCAACGGCTACACACTTTGGTACCTTCCACCATCAACTTCGACGACAGTTACACATTTTAGCAACGAAATTTGCATTTCACCTCACGCTTGACCACTCGACACACACGATCTCCGCAGAGGATTCACCACGCTCACTCAAAATTTGCACTTCGCCTCACGTTTGGGCACTCGACATGCAGGATCTCCATAAAGGGTTCATCCAGCCCACCGAGAAATCGTCTCCGCAAAGGATTCATCCGTCCAGGTCACAATTCGCACAATCTCCGCAAAAGGTTCATCAAGCCAGGCCAGAACTTGCCTTTCGCGCCTCACGTTTGAGCACTCGACGCGCACGATCTCTGCAGAAGGTTACGTTCCGCAAGCCTTGTCCGGTCGCCTAAGAAAGAATAGACAAAGAGCCGAGATGTATCACGCGGGGCACGCCGTGAACAAACATATTTTACTCCACGTTAACATATGTGTACTTTTTGCATATGCGCTTTCTGAAGCAAGACCCCAACGAAAGTCGTACTATCTCATACTTGATTTTGCACGTGACTGTACCTAAGCAAGACCCCAGCAAAAGTTATGCTTGACTTTGCGTATGACTTTACTAAAGCAAGGCCGCTAGCGAAAGTTACCCCAAATGATCTCAAATGCATTACCACCTCCGTAGCAACAGCTCTAGACAACCACACCTAGAAGTTGCAGATTTACTAATACTGTTACATACAAATCCAGGTATAGCATGCATACAAATGCAATCAAATGCAGCTATACAAATCCCACACGTATTGATGCAGATTTGTCACGCAAAAGATTTCTGCAGAAGAACCCTTTGCAACGCTCCCGGGAAATAGCCTACTACACTACACAAGAAGATTTGGAATTGCACCTGCCTCTTCCAGGGTGTAGGTTTGAGTCTCGACGGCCTCGAGACATGTTTTGACTGTGGGTTGCATTTCGCCCTCAAAAGCATTCCTTAAGAACCGTTTATTCAATTGTATCTTGCACTCAAGCTACTAAGTTCAAAAGGAAAACAGGAAAATACGTGGAGCTAACTGCTGTGTCGAATGAACTCAACAGTTGCTACAATTCCCCACCTGGATGCCCTTGATACCCTTCAACTTGGCCAGGAACTCTTCCTGACTTCAATTCAGCAGGGTTGACTGAGTTGGAAGCTTGAAATGAACACCAACATGAAATCCGACGCAGTACAAGTGCCCAAAGTCACTATCTGAAGTGAGTGATCCCAAATGACAGCCAGCACTTGTCTGCGAGGTAGTCATGAAGAAAGTCGTCCTAAACTCCAAAATGGCTGTGGTTCCCTCCCAAATCTATGGGTAAAGTAAAAGGACACAGTAGACCCACCAGCCAAGTCGTGGGTTCATGGGCCAAACCCTTCTTTCAGCTAAAAGGTGGGAAGAAGGGAAAAGGAATGTCTACGATGTCTTTAGAAAACAAAGAATACACAGATTGAACCACCACCTAGTAGCTTCTTGCTACTAGTAGTAATGGCCTCCAACCTAATAGCGATGGCCTCCACCTAGTAGCATCCTTGTTACAAAAGCGTAAGAACAGAAGCACGTCCAACTCGACGTTCACAACTCGGTTACATTGACTCGCCTCCGGGGCGAACTTTGCCTTCTCCCACTCACCAAAGCCGGCCGCGGTCAACTTGGTCACCACCTCCGCAGCTCTCAACACAACGGCCCGGAGGGTGTTCTCTATGCAACAAGTTGGATATGCTTTGTTGTTTTCCTGACATACCCAGAAATCTGATTGTGGATAAGATCATCCTTGTGATCACCAACTCAGCGTTACACGGCATGCCCTCAAACAGTTGTAACATGTTGTAACAATCAAAATGAAGACATTATTTTTTGTGAGAAGCTCATTGGTCATACCTGCAAGTCGTGGTTTGTGAGTTTGTGAAACCCTGGAACCCGAAATGCCTTGAGAGTAGGATCCGACGTGTCAGTGCTTTTGTTCGCATCTCATGCACATATCTCTTTCCAATAAAACAGTTGCAAAATATTGTTCCAAAGTCTTCCTATGGTATTCAATCGTGTCTAATCAGTTCGGGCCCGGTTCCGCTCAAGCCCCACCGCATTCCGTGTCCTAAAAAGTGATCCCGCCAAGGCGACGACCCACGACAGCACCTGCCTTGAAGTCCAAGCATCCGCCGCACACGACACGTTGCACACTGTTTACACCCTCTACCTTGTTCGCAGATGTTGTGGGGCAACAAACAAATATGAACAGACAGCACGAATCTGCCGTATCCTGCCATTGGGTCCAATTCCACTTAAGAGTCAAGAGGGTGGTATGAAGATCATCAGTCGCTTGGTGCTCATGGGAGAAGGAATACAATCCAAGCACTTCCATATGCATATTGAGACTGTGTGAGAAGAATGTAGGAAGGGCTGCTTGTTGCAGGATGGTTGGGAGCAGTTGGTGCTGACGTGATCTACAAGTGGTTCCAGTCCGCACACCAGCTGTCGCAAAAACGATATGTTGTAAATGAAAAGTGAGGAAATGAGCGGCTGCTGTGTAGAGAGTAGAGCCAATGCATCTGTGCAAGGGGAGTTCACTACTGTCTGCGAAAGGGTGGGCAACATGAATGTGGGCAACAGGGCAACATGCGAGGGTGACAAACGACAATGATTGGAAGGGATACGCAGTATAAGGCTGGGTACGCCGAGAAAAATGAACCTTCCACACAGAAATTCAACTCTTGACTATCTAGTCATATGAATCAAGTCTTGCGTTTGAACTTTTTGTGTTTCAAACACACGCCTCGAAATCCACAAATTCCCAGATAAATGAACATCTCTCCATTTGATTTCATTTGTCCATCGACTCTGCCGCGCTACAGAGCTGAGATCTGCCAGCACGTCCTCGAGGGCTTGCTGCGCGGCGTTCAGAGACGCCTGCACAGGCGACGGAAATTATGGGAGCTGGGATGCGGGATTGTGGGATGCGTATCCAAAAAGAACACGCTGCGTAAAATTGAAGAGGATGTGGAATGACCTGCGTCTCAAAACCTTGAGGCCCCCTTGACCCACTGAGCGGGATGATTAAAATCAGGGTTCACAATTAATTCGCTGAGCAAGTTTGCGTTGCCTCGTTTCTTGTCGCTCGGTTTACAGTACATCGAACGATTCCTGGACTGGGGTGTGGTATATGTTCGAAGGAGGTTTCCTCCTACATCTTTCTTTGCTTTTCTTGTACTTACCACCAAATCCCTTCTACCCGAATCTCAGATTGGAAGGGCATAGGGGACCGTCTCGAGTCTCGCACCCGCGGGGTGACTCGCCGATTTATCTCACTCAAATGCACTGAAAGGGAGTTAGAGGCCATCGCTAGTAGGTTGGAGGCCATCTCTAGTAGGTTCCTTTTGCTATTAGGTTACTGAAATGCAGTTGTCCAAGGATCTGCAATGGAACGGTGCGGATCCTTGTCATTGTCAGCGGACCACTTGCAGCGCCACTCACGGGCGATGTTGTCGAACCTTGAGGTCGGGCGGTCCAGGGATGTCCAAAGATGATAATGCCCAGGCGCCCAGGGGGTGCAGTGGGCCAAAGTGAGAGGACCCAAAAACATCGTCAGACTTCAGTCTCTTCAAGTCCAGACTCGTCGTGATGATGTCACTGAACAAACACATGACTGACAATTGAAATCTCATCAAGCTCGCCCTCAATCTCATGCATTGTTCAGTTGAGAAGCTTCACGGACTTTGTGATTTCTGGCATGCCGTGGGCGGTCTCTCAATATCAAAATCGCGCGCTTGAGCAAAAAGCACTCATGGAAGAAACTCTGAATCTACAAAGCGATGGGCATGACAGAAGGCACGACTCCATTCACCAAAGAAAAAGGTTTGAGGTGTTCAATTCGATGTGCAAAGCTACTAGGAGCAAGAAGCTACTAGGAACAACGGGCATCGCTACTAGGAGCAAGAAGCTAGTTACTAGTAGCTCCAGGAATTACTGCTAGGAGCAAGGACGCTACTAGGAACAAAGGGCATCGCTACTAGCTGTTTGTAAAGCCTCAAATCTAAAAGTCAAAGCTGCAGCGACCTCTCGTCGCGGGACACTTTGGTGATCCCTGGCCCGACAGCAATGCTTTTTCATGCATTTTCGCTCATCCTTGGGCAATCAGCTTGAGAAGATATATCACTGCCAGGTGAAACGAATATCCTCCCGAAGGCTCAGTTGGCTCAGCCCAGCAGGCTCACAGAAAGATCCTTCTTGTGTCCGGCATTCTTCTTTTTCTTCTTCTCGCCCTTGTTCCGGTGTTCCTGGGGAGGATGAAAAGCTCTGAAACCCTACCTTGGTCACTGCAATAGTCAATAGTTCTGGGAGTTTGAGAGATTCATGGCACGCATGCAGCGTTTTGAGATAGCAGTCAAAACCAACATGACAAAGTGGAACCGTAAGTTCCACTAACCAACACTTTGCCTTCTCATTTGTTCAGCTGAAGCAAATATGTTTCTGTCTTGAACAAATTCAATCACATGTCAATGCAAAACAAACTAACCGCAAGGTGATGTTCCCTTGCAAGCCTTGCAGCACGTCAGTCTGGAAGGCTTAGATACAAACTGACAAAAAAAACAACAAATAACAGAAAAACATATTCTGGTTTTACAGATCTACTTGCTCTACTCCAAAGAAGAAATTGAAGTTGCGTTGGCTAAAACGAACATAAACAAACCACATCTCTTGTTCTGCGTTGCTTCTTCACCTCGCAGACCGCTCCGCCTGTCGCCGCACCACGACCGGTAGCTCCTCCGGAGCGTCGACTTCCACGATGCCACTGCTGGTGACCATGAGATGTTTCAACTGAGGCATATGACCTTCCAATATTTGGCGACTCAGAGCTTCGGAAGTCGGTCCGGACTGGGTGGGGCCTGGTGGGACTGGTGGGAGCGGAACCAAAGAAGAAGTGTTTTCTTATGTTTTCTTGCTACTAGTAGCTTCTTGCTCCTAGTAGTAAGGCCAGGAGCCGCTAGTAGCGTCCTTGCTCCTAGTAGCGGTGCCAGGAGCCCCTAGTAGCTTCTTGTTACTAGAAGGCAAAAATTGGAGCACTTGAAGATGTTCGTCACTCTACATTCACATTCACACTGGTGAAACCACGGGACATACATTTTGCTGCATACATCGTGTTCCCACAAATGATCTGTATATTGGAGGCTTCATCAAACGGCAGCATCTTGTGCAAGATGTCACCACATGACAGCAAACTTTTGCCAAAGCATGCCAGCCCAAGGAGCTTCCGGGGTGCTTAATGCCATGTGCGGCTCTTCTATGTCTCTTCATGAGCAAATGCGCACGGTCGAGATCACCTCAGTTGAGTCCTTGAAAGTTTTGAGAATCTTGTTGCTGGATGCAGTTCTGCTACTGTAGGCAGTAGTTTCCCTTCATTAGACATTCGATATTGAGTCTACTGTATGTATATGTATGATTATGATTAAGTATGATAAGTCTGTATAATTCTGTATAAGTATAAGTACGAGTGCTGTTGGCAAACCAAGCGGGGAAGTTTAAAAAAGAAACAGTAAACTATGGGAAGAGGTTCGTCGTTTTTGTGAAACACACTCCTTCTTTTTGTCACGGATGCCTCTTGTCGCTGCAACAAATACATGCGTGGTCAACTTCCACATTGACTTTCGACAACCGTTGCACACTTTGGCCAGTTGATTTTCGACGACAGTTTCACACTTTGGTGACTTCCGCCTTGATTTTCGACGACCGCTACACACTTTGTCAACCAATTTGCCCACTTCCACCTTGATTTGTGACGACAGTTACGCTCTCCGCGGGCTCTTGAACCTAGCTACTTGTCTAGGCTAACTCGTGAACTTAGCTAGCTCCTCACTATCCGAACTCGTGGACTTAGCTAGCTCTTCACTTACAGCAGCTACTGGTTTACGCTACGTAACTATTGCCCCTCGCTGCATATTTAACTGTTTGTAGCTACGGAAGTTTCTTGACTAAACTTCCTTTGATGATCTCGAGACATAATATGCAACGTGCTCAAGCGTTCTGAACTTTCCTGCGGACCACTGGTGTCAAGAAAAATGATGTCAAAACTGCCATGAGTTGGAGATATATAGAGGCGATAGAGGCAAGGTCGCCTCAGTGCCGTAGAAAAGGAAATAGTGACGGCGGTTGGTGCATTATCACTCCGAGTCGATATTTTTGAGAGAGGGTGCCAAATCATTATGCCAGCCCATGCTCAGACAAGATCATGGAGCAGATGCAGCCCCAGTGGCTCTCGTCCGTCTGACCGTGCAAGAAGAGATCAAAATGCTGCTTCGCATACTCCTTCAATACAGCTTTCTCAGCCCCTTCTTCTGTGGTCTCCTTCAGGGTTCTCAAAGGTTCAGAGATCCAAACCACGTGTGAAGCTTTGCGAATGGCTCTCCATCACTCCTCGCTGAGCTCCCGCTCGGTCGGCAGGATGTAGATCCGCCAAGCGGGAAAAACAATGACCACCAAACAAATCGACCTGCAAGCAAGTGATCATGAGTGTTCATTGGCTTCCTACTTGCTTTTGGAAGGTCACGCTAAAGATGCGTTATCATCAAGGTGACGGTTCGAAATGTACTGGTGCAGGGGGCGGCGCATTTGACTGACTCATCCACTCTCTGCTTCAGGCGAT